TTTGAAGCCGAGGGAAAAAGTTTTTTTTTTACTTTTTTTTTAAAATGGCCCTTTTCAATAAATATCGAATGAGTTGAGAAAAGTATGGTATCATTCAAACGGCATTTGAATTACCTTTCCATTGATACCTAAAGTTAAAAGAAGCAAGTTCAGGTTTCGAGTATATTTCACTTTTATTTTGACAAAATACTTATGGCCACCATTGTATACTGCGTGCAACAACTACACAACTTTTGGGAAAGTTTCAGCAAGATAGCTTTAAAACTTAGAGACTAGTTTACATAGAAACCGACAGGAGGACAGACAGACAGACAGACAGACGGACAGACGTACAGACGGATTTCGATTTAGATCGTGATGCTGATCAAGAATATATATACTTTATGGGGTCTGAGGTGTCTCCTTCACTGCGTTGCAAACTTCTGATTGAAATTATAATACACTTTGCTCTGCAAGGGTATAAAGATGATATTCGTTCTATAGATAATGAATTTCGCGAGGTAATCAGGAAGAGTTTTTTTAAATTTTTTTGTCTATTTTTGAAAACACCTGAAAGTGAAAAGTGCGATTATAGCTTAAAAAATCGTTGTTAATTTATTTTTTAAAAATAGAAAAAAATTAAAAATTAAAAAAAACTCTACCTGATTACCTGCGTATTTATGTGGAGAGTTTGTGTTAAAAATTTGAAAAGGATCGGTTAAGTAGATTTTGAGTTCTGATGTTCACCGACTTTCAAAATAACGTTTTCGGGAAAATCGATTTAAAGTATTTTTATTCGTTAAAGAACGGCCAAATTCGGTTTGTTAATTAGTTTTACTCTAATTGACTCAACATTTTTACGCAATGGTCTCGACATATTGCTTTCTTAGAAAAAAAAAACAAAATCAAAAAAAAAAATTGTTAAAACCTAACCCCCCCTTAAGCGAATTTCATAAAAAGCGGACAGTACATCATACAGCTGTCATAGGAGCGCGCGCACTTTTGCATTGATACATATGCTATATGATAATTAAGTAATTTTTCAAAAAAACAAAACTGAACTAAAAACTGAAAAATAACCTTTTTTTTTAAAAAAATTTAATTATTAAATTAATAATGATTTTGTGGCATCTCTGAGATTGATTTTTTATGTGGAAAAGGCGTTCATGCGCAACTCGGATGTTTTTGTTTTTTTTTTTTTTACCGTAATCGGTTTTCTGCTCAACTCGGACGTTCATTTTTTATGTGCAAAAATCGTTTCTGCTCAACTCGGACGTTCATTTTTTATGTCCAAAATCGTTTCTGCTCAACTCGGAATTTTTTATTTTACCGTAATCGGCTTTCTGCTCAACTCGGTATCGCCCTCTTGATCAGCATCATCACCTGAATCGAAATACGTCTGTACGCCTGACTGTTTGTCCTTTTGTCCGTCTGTCTGCCGCTGCCATAGGAAAGATCGAAAAATATATAAAGAAATAATGGAAAACAAATTATAACGTCGAGTTTGGTTTTTACAACATCGACTTTTTTTGCTACCCTTGAACCGAGAAAAAAATTTCATACAAATTGGACAACTGTATCATATAGCTCCCATAGGAAAGCCCGAAAAATCTATATAGAATTAACGGAAATAAAACGATAACAACTTTGTTTTTCATTAGAGAATCATGATTTTTGGAATATAGAGTTTTCTAACGTCTCTTGAATAACGAATAAAATTTTATAAAAATCGGACGACTATATCATATAGCTGCCAAATGAACAATAGATGAAAATATGGAAAACTAATAGAAAAATCGCAGTGGCGGATCCACGGGGGGGGAAATTAGGGAAATTTCCCCCCCCTTGGAACCAGAGAACCTGAAAATTTTACTTGTTTGCTATGGTTGACTTTTCAAATATAACCACTTTGTTTACCAAAAAATTGGGATGGATAATTTTTGTTTTATAATTTGTACTGTATTTCTCCCGCAATAATAGGTTTGAACCCCAAATCGAAGAATAAGTTCAATTTCCCCCCCCAAGAATCGTCTCTGGATCCGCCACTGAAAATCGTCATAGCTTTGATGTTGTTTAGCCTTTATTTATTTTGTTCGACATATTTGATGAATGCAAGGGTACATATATAAGCTTTGGCCTTTCTTGTAAAATTTTTTTGTTTTTTATGTCTAGTAGTCGATTTTATAGGGCCAGCAGCTTGTAAAAATTGGTCATATAAAAATATAGAAGAATAACTCCCTATATAATATATATACATGTATATAAATACTTTTCCATGATTTTTCACGTATGGATTTTTTTGCCTGCTTTTTGCTAACGTACATGAATATATATATTTTTTCCAGTTCGTTCTCTTATACTAAAAATAGAGACGAACGTGGCACATCAAGTTGGCTGGCCTTCGGGTCTAATACAAACTCAGGGTGTCGTCTATTTTTTTTGCGGCATGAAAAACAAAACAAGAAAGGAAGCTACATAGCTTCGGCAATCCGAAGCTTATACATAAAATACATAAAGGCTTAACAAAATCGAAGCTATGACGATTTTTCTATTATTTTTCCATATTTTCGACTATTGTTTATATGACAGCTATATGATTTAGTCATCCGATTTGACAAAATTTAATTAAAAATTCAAGAATCAGTAGAAAACTCTATATTCCAATTGTCTGATGAAAAACAACGACGCTATAATTTTTTTTCTATTATTTATATATAATACATATTAGATTAAGAAACCCTTTCCTGTTTCTGGTAACCTTGGTGGCAATTTCGACTAGTTTCATATCCTTTTCACGATAAGCTGAAGTTTTTAGACGCTCTTTAGTGGAAAGGTATCCCCTTTAAAACACATTATTGAAAAAACGGTGTGTAAAGTTAAACACCAAATATAACAAGTAAGGAAGCTAGCTTCGGAAGCCGAAGCTTAAATGCAAGGGTATAATAAAAGGGTCATAAAATACAAGGTGGGCCATATACATTTGACCCATTTGGCAACCCTGTAACTTTTGACAGCGTCGACAGATCGTCAAATGTCATACCACGTTGGAAGCGTCAGTCGAAGACAATTGATACCATGGAAATATACACTCCAAAGGAACGCGCTCAAATTGTTCAGCTCTACATTGAAAATAAATTCTCAATTGTGTTGACCCAACGTGCGTTTCGTAAAATGAATAAAGTTAAAAGTGCTCCAGTTAAAAACACAATTAAGTCTTTGTACGCAAAATTTGTAAACATCGGTAATCTAAGTAATGCCAGTCATGTATCCAGGCAACGAACAAGACGTTCTAATGAAAATATCGAAGCTGTACGCGCCAGTATTGATGAGACTCCTACGACATCGACTTATTGACGATCTCAAGAATTAGGCATCGCTCGCACTACTCTCCGACGCATAATTCATAGCGATTTGAAGATGTTTCCTTACAAAATTCAAATGGCACATAAGATTAACCCAGCTGTTTATCCAAGACGCCTCAATTTTGCCAAATGGGCCATCGAAATGTCTGAAAACGATTTTGACTGGCCCCCAACATCACCAGATTTGACGGCATCAGACTTTTATTTGTGGGGTTATTTGAAATCCAAGGTATACGCTAATAAACCAAAAACCTTAAGTCAACTAAAAGACAACATTAGACGTGAAATAGCCGCCATATCGTCTGAAACATTGACCAAAGTCATGGAAAATGCTGAAAAATGAATGCATTCGGCTGTCAGAGCTAAAGGTGCCCATTTACGTGATATCATTTTTAATAATAATTTGTAAAAAATCTCCTTGGACCAAAATAAATGATTTTTGGAATAAAAAAAAAATTTTCCACTTTTTTTGTTTTTGTTTTAAGAATCAAGTGGGTCAACTTTAAATGGCCCACCCTGTATTTCGAACAAAATATATAAAGGCTAAACAACATCTAAGCTATGGCGATTTTTCTATAAATTCTCCATATTTTCGACTATTGTTCATATGGCAGCTATATGATATAGTTGTCCGTATTTGATGAAATTTAATTTGTTATTCAAGAGTCGTTAGAAACCTCTATATTCCAAAAATCATCATTGTCTGATGAAAAACAACAATGTTATCATTTTATTTCCGTTATTTCTATATAAAATTTTGATCTTTCCTATGGCAGCTATATGATACAGTTGTCCGATTTTTATGAAATTTTTTTTTCGATTCAGGGGTCGATCTGATCAAAAACAACGGCGTGATAATTTTGTATTTCATTCTCTCGTATGGGAGCTATCCGATATAGTCGGCCGATCCGGCTCGTTCCGACTTATATACTGCGTGAAATAACTACACAACTTTGGGAAAGTTTCAGCAAGATAGCTTTAAAATTGGGAGAATAGTTTGCGTACAAACGGACAGACGTACAGACGTATTTCGATTCAGATGGTGATGTTGATCAAAAAACTTTTGACTGAAATTATAATACTCTTTTGCTCTGCAAGGGTATAAAAATAAAATGACCTTTAATGCATTAAATTAATGTACATACATATGTATGTAACAATTTCGCTCAGCATCACGATGCATATGAACATATTCTCGATTATAACGGAACCTGTTTCGCTTTTAAAAAGTTCTTCTTGGAAATAAATATAACTTTTTCACGAATCTCTGTATAAAAAGACTTCCCCGAATTTGAATAGTAATATAAGGTGATTTTTTTAGGTTCCTTGTAAGGTGATGATTACCCAGAACATATGGTTATTCTTAATGAGGGGAAATATCCTTCACTGCGTTACGAACTGCTAAATAGTATTAGAAAACTTTCGCGAGGGCATACAAAAAGGGTACTTTGTAATTTCAAAACTTACTGCTTAATTTAAAAAGTTTAAAAAAAATAAATTTTTTTATTAACAGAATTTATTATAAGTATACATTTCTGAGATCCGTTTTACAAGTGGAAAATAAGCGTTACACTATTGACGACTTATTTTGGCGAACCGATTTCGATAATATTTTCTAAAACGTTGATAATTTTTTCTATTTTTTCTCCCTTTTTTCAGGATAAGCAAAAGCTCTTGGATCAAATCAAAAACAAATCGGAAACGAATAATTAATGAGTTATATTGCTAATTAGATTCCCTCTTGCATGCGCGGAATAAAAAAAAAGAAGACATTAAAAAAAGGCTTAAAGGCAGTCACGTTAGACAACTTCGCCAATATGTTGCTTAAACGCCAAAAAAAGAATGATCTCCAACGAAATCATACGCCATGGAGGGATGTATATCCATGGCAAGTGGTGTTGCTAAGTTTGGCTCTTGTTGGTCACGCCAGTGCCCAAGTTGGTAGGTATTTACAAAAATGTATTGAAGGGGAAAAAATTAAAGTTTAAGGTAAACTCGAATTTGAATAATATTAAAGATAACCTACAATATAAAGTTTTTCTAAAAACACCGGCACACACTAACATACGAGTAACGAAGAAGTGTCTCCCAGAAATGACACTTTGGAGTGACTTTCACGACTTTTTCAGAAGTTACCCAGAAAAGATTTCACACCTGAAAAATTAAAAAAAAAAACAACAATTTTTTCAGTATTTGATAAATTTGCTTTTATTAAGCTGAATTTTGTTGTTGTAAAATGTATTCTATCCTTCGCCCAAATGCTTGCAGGTAAAACATGGCATGGTACCATATCTCGGACCCTGTCTATGTACGAGGTGTGTTCAAAAAGTATCGCGAATTTTGAATTTTCGCGGGTTACCTCGTATCGAATTTCGATTTTTTGTGGCGTTATGTTGGTACTCATGTCTCTCACCTATGCCGACAAGCTCGGCCATTTTGAATGTTCACTTAAATGTTGACAGCTGCTTTGCTTGCACGTCTTTTGGATCGTCTTTGATTTTTACCTATTCAAAAAAATGGATCAATGAACCTGTATCAAATGTTGTGGGAAAAACCAAATTCAGTGCGTGGATGCACTCCGAATGCTGACTGTGGCATACGGAGAAGCCACCTTGGACCGAAGCAACGTTTATCGGTGGTACAAAGTGTTGCAAGGGCGTGGTGCATCATGAGTTCTTGCCACAGGGAAGAACGGTCCATAAGGAATATTATCTCCAAGTTATGCGCAATTTGCGCGAAGCAATCCGCCAGAAGCGCCCGGATTTATGGTAGAACAAAAATTGGCTTTTGCACCACGATAACGCCCCTGCTCACACATCGTTGCTTGTGCGCGACTTTTTGGCCAAAAACGACACACTAATGAAGCCGCAGCCACCGTATTCCCCAGATCTGGCCCCTGTGACTTTTTCTTGTTTCCTAAACTAAAGATGCCCATGAAAGGACGACGTTACGCTACGCTCGACGAGATAAAGACGGCATCGAAGAAGAGGCTAAACAAGATAAAAAAATGATTTTTTGAAGTGCTTCGAAGATTGGAAAAACCGTTGGCACAAGTGCATGGGGATCATGGGGATTACTTTGAAGGGGACAAAATAGATATTCATGAACAAATAAATAAATTTTGAAATAACACAAAGTTTGCGATACTTTTTGAACACACCTCGTAAAAAGCCGAAGAGGGTTCGACCTCCCAAGATTATAGCTGGCTGACTCTAAACTACATAAAATAAATTTGGCGGGACAAAGCTTATATAACTTATTTTTTGATTAATTGTATTTAAGTTCTTCGATTCCTCCTATGAAAGCTATAAGACAAATTCTTTTGAGTTTTACAAAATTTAATTCCTATTTCAAGTTCATTAGAAAACCCGAAATTCCAAACACAAATATACTAAAAAAAAAAATCATTAGTTTTATATAGATTTTTGAAGTGAAACTTCTTTAGGCGCGTTATGGATTTTCGGGGACGGAGTAAAACCGATTCATGACCGTCACGAAAATTACCGTCACGAAAATTGCCGTCACGAAAAAGCGAGGATCCCCATCCCTTTCTAACCGCTGACGAACGATGTCTCTATCCTCCTCTATCCTTTCTCGCTCTCAGCGCGCTCGCACAAAGTTGCAGTTGAAAAAGGGGTGAGAGGTGTGAATGTCAAAAGGAATTCAAATCGAACAGGTTGCATACAGATATTAATTGGCACCATAATTTCTATCCATTTTATTTGACCTAGAAATGAAAACACATATCGATATGTATTTGTCTTCTTCTTCTTCTCAATCGGTTTGTTAACTTTTGAGAGTCGCCAGCACATTTCGAGACCTCTAAAATGAAGCGTATAATAAGGCTTTTATTCGGTTTCCTACAGAATTTCAATTTTAACAAGAAAGGAAGCTAGCTTCGGCAAGCCGAAGCTTATATACCCTTGCAGTCATCAAATATGTCGAACTAAATACAAAAAGGCTAAACAGTATCGAAGCTATGACGATTTTTCTATTCATTTTCCGTATTTTCGACTATTGTTCAAATGTCGACTATATGATATAGTTGTCCGATTTTGATCAAATTTAATTCGTAATTCAAGAGTCGTAAGAAAACTCTATATTCCAAAAATCATACTTGTCTGATAAAAAAACAACGATGTTATAAATTTGTTTCCATTATTTCGATATAAATTTTTCGATCTTTCCTATGGCAGCTATAAGATATAGATGACCGATTTTTATGAAACTTTTTTCTCAATATAAACGTTGTTAAAAAACTTGATATTCAAAAAATCATGGGATAAAAAACAACGATGTTATCAATTTATTTCCATTAATTCTATATATAATTTTCGATCTCTCCTATGGCAGCTATATGATAGAGTTATCCGATTTTGATCAAATTTAATCCGAAATTCAATAACAGTTAGCCATCTTGAAGAATTCAAGTAGATCTGACGAAAAACACCGGCGTGAGAATTTTTCATTTCATTCCCTCGTATGGGAGCTATCCTTTATAGTCGGCCGATCCGGCCCGTTCCGACTTATATACTGCGTGCAATAACTACACACCTTTTGGGAAAGTTTCAGCAAGATAGCTTTAAAACTGAGAGACTAGTTTTGACAGACGGACAGACAGACAGACGTACATACGTATTTGAATTCTGATCGTGATGCTGATCAAGAATATATATACTTTATGGGGTCTGAGGTGTCTCCTTCACTGCGTTGCAAACTTCTGACTGAAATTATAATACCCTTTTGCTCTGCAAGTGTATAAAAATGAGTAGTGATGAAGAAGTTTCACTTCTGTCGTGCGTAGGCTGGACACACCCCTTTTTTTTTTGATTATCCTATGACAGCTTTGATCGTATACTCTAGCTGCTGGTATAGTTTTTCGTTTTCTAAATTGTAACTCATAATTCCTTTGCGAAAAAGGCCATATACAAAACAATACATGTTTTTAAAACAATTGCCTTTTATAAAGTTTCAGGGAGATAGCTTTTTAAGTAGACTAAACGGACATACCCACACATCTAGTCGAAAATATGTAAATTAATAGAAAAATCGTTATAGGTTCGATGTTGTTTAGCCTTTATGTATTTTTTTGACATATTTGATGACTGCAAGGGTATATAAGCTTCGGTTTGCCAAAGCTAGCTTCCTTTCTCGTTTAAATTTTCTTTTTCTCAGGCAACCAACCATGATAATTTACAGTCAGCAGCTACACAAAGGTGGGAAGATGGAGTATTTTTTGCAGATAACATTCCGGAGATGCATTTCCCATGAATGTGTAGAAAAGTAGTAAAGGAGAAACGACAACGGCCCCTGGTAGATATGAACATAAGCTACAGGTTGGGAAAATACTCATAACATTGATAAACTTACGTCTCCAGTTCCGAAGGGTTTTAAACAGTTATAGGTCCCCATAACGCAATAAAATGTTAGCTTTTTAAAAAAACAGTTTGTTGTTTTTTAAACAAAAAATGAGTTTAGAAATTCGTAGATTTTACTTGACAATTAGAAACTTGAGCCACTATGTTAAAAAAAAAAAAGGGGTGTGTCCAGCCTACGCACGACAGAAGTGAAACTTCTTCATCACTACTCATTTTTATACACTTGCAGAGCAAAAGGGTATTATAATTTCAGTCAGAAGTTTGCAACGCAGTGAAGGAGACACCTCAGACCCCATAAAGTATATATATTCTTGATCAGCATCACGAGCAGAATCGGAATACGTCTGTACGTCTGTCCGTCTGCCATCTGTCCGTCTGTCCGTTTCCGCGCAAACTAGTCTCTCAGTTTTAAAGCTATCTTGCTGAAACTTTCCCAAAAGGTGTGTAGTTATTGCACGCAGTATATAAGTCGGAACGGGCCGGATCGGCCGACTATAAAGGATAGCTCCCATACGCGGGAATGAAATGAAAAATTCTCACGCCGGTGTTTTTCGTCAGATCTACTTGAATTCTTCAAGATGGCGTTTTCTAACTGTTATTGAATTTCGGATTAAATTTGATCAAAATCGGATAACTCTATCATATAGCTGCCATAGGAGAGATCGAAAATTATATATAGAATTAATGGAAATAAATTGATAACATCGTTGTTTTTTATCCCATGATTTTTTGAATATCAAGTTTTTTAACAACGTTTTTATTGAGAAAAAAGTTTCATAAAAATCGGTCATCTATATCTTATAGCTGCCATAGGAAAGATCGAAAAATTTATATCGAAATAATGGAAACAAATTTATAACATCGTTGTTTTTTATCAGACAAGTATGATTTTTGGAATATAGAGTTTTCTTACGACTCTTGAATTACGAATTAAATTTGATCAAAATCGGACAACTATATCATATAGTCGTCATTTGAACAATAGTCGAAAATACCGAAAATGAATAGAAAAATCGTCATAGCTTCGATACTGTTTAGCCTTTTTGTATTTAGTTCGACATATTTGATGACTGCACGGGCATATAAGCTTCGGCTTGCCGAAGCTAGCTTCCTTTCTTGTTAAAATTGAAATTCTGTAGGAAACCGAATAAAAGCCTTATTAGACGCTTCATTTTAGAGGTCTCGAAATGTGTTGGCGACTCTCAAAAGTTAACAAACCGATTGAGTAGAAGAAGAAGGCAAATACATATCGATATGTGTTTTCATTTCTAGGTCAAATAAAATGGATAGAAATTATGGTGCCAATTAATATCTGTATGCAACCTGTTCGATTTGTATTCCTTTTGACATTCACACCTCTCACCCCTTTTTCAACTGCAACTTTGTGCGAGCGCGCTGAGAGCGAGAAAGGATAGAGGAGGATAGAGACATCGTTCGTCAGCGGTTAGAAAGGGATGGGGATCCTCGCTTTTTCGTGACGGCAATTTTCGTGACGGTAATTTTCGTGACGGTCATGAATCGGTTTTACTCCGTCCCCGAAAATCCATAACGCGCCTAAAGAAGTTTCACTTCAAAAAAAAACCAAGAAAGAAGCTAGCTTCGGCAAGCCGAAGCTGATATACCCTTGCAGTCATGAAATTATATCGAACAACATCATACATACATACAACATCGAAGCAATGACGATTTTTCTATCTTTTTTCCATATTTTTGATTATTGTTATGGCAGCTATATGATATAGTTGTCCGATTTCGATTTGTCCGACTTCCTATGACAGCTATATGATAGAGTTATCCGATTTTGATAAAATTTAATCCATTCAAACCTGACAGAAATTATAATACCCTTTGCAAGGGTATAAAAATGCATATAGCTGTGGACTTATCACTGGAGTAGAATTATTTCTGGGCCTGGCGCTTTCCTTGAAACGTATTTTGTTGCGAAGTTTTCACTCAATTCTGAAGAGCCTGTGGGACCTCGTATTTCAAACAATCAAGAACACCCCAAGGTTAGTGAGAGTTAAAAAGAGCAGGGTGAATTTTACGCTAATTGCTGAGTACTTATGGACTTAATAAAAATATGTTTTACCAATCGCTTAAACTGTGTGTGAACAGAACTTTGCTATAATTCCTAGAATTGGGATCGAAATTTGAATCGCAATATTGAAGTTTTTATAATTTCCAGGGTTAATACATTTATTCGGATTGACAAACAGAAATAGATCGTATCATAAGAAAACCATGATTAAGGATATAGTCACTTAATGGGCTTATTACTGTTTTATACTTTAAATAACTAAAATATACAGTTTGTAACAAAGTTTTATATTTCTACACAGCCATCTACAAAAGACGTTTGCCTAATATTTAAAATGTTTTGGTTGTTTTTAATCACAACATCTTTTTTCTATGACAAAATTCCTTTGCGTAATTTCTGTAAAAGAAAATAAAACTACCATAGCGAAATCGTGTTGACAAATAAGCCTCGACTTTGGGCAAACGTTTTACCTAATACATATATGAGGAGAACTCAAACAGAGTTAACATTTTAATTAAGTTAAGACTTGGGAAAAACGGACACTTCTCTCGCCAAACCCAATGTTTTTTTGAAATTGATTTCAAACAAGGATATACATTTCAAGTTTTTAAAATAAAATTGTTCCGTTCGTCGCTCCATTGAATATTAACAAGTGAAAAAACACATTCGCAATTTGCTTTATGACAAGAAATCACAAAGAAATATTACGCAATTTTGAGTATTTCAGATCATGATTCAAGACCACTGCATAGTGGTCCGGCTGTATGGAAAAAGTGGTCATAAATCAGAAAGTCAACGTAGAGAGTTCAAAATTTGAACTCGGGGGTTTTGGGGGTCGCTGCGTTTGCGTTAACGCAATATTGCGCAAAAAAGTTATCGGAAAAATGTTCGTAAATAAAAAAAAATTACATTATATTTTTATAGGATTTTCGCCACTTGTCACATTTAAGGTTTTTATGTAAACGGAATTGAAACTTTCTAATACTTCGGGGAATTATAGTTCAAATATTCGAGAATTGATGAGCATTACAAATTTTTAAATCGAAATTTTTAAACAAATTGAAAAATTGGATTTATGGCTGCATCCTGACCACTGTGCACTGTTAGGAGAAAGAAAATCAAAGACATTTTCATTGATACTATTTTTGAAAAATCATCTCTTGCTTCTATTTCTTGATTTTCTTTTTCATTCCAAATTTTTTTTTTAAACTAACAAACTGATCGAAGTTTTAGATCCTAAATTTGAATATTTTTAGATGCGGTAAATGCAACCGATTTTTCAACAGACTCATACCTCAACTCTTTTCCTGGCTGGAAATTTAACCATTCGAATTTCGAAGTCTTACAAATTTGTCAGCTTTTGCCAGCTTCTGCAGTTTCTGCTTGACTGCGTATGGTATAAATTTCGAATTGACACTTTCAGTCAAAGACTCCGATACTTCGTCAATGATTTGCAAAACTTCCAGAATTTGTTTGATTTTATTGTGAAAAACATTCATAATTGAACTTTTAAATCGCAATTGCAATTCCGAAAAATCATCTTTGAATAACCTTTCTAAAATCATTGGCCGATGGTTAGTGGATAAATTTGTAAAATTGTCATAAGAGCAGTGATGGATTACCGCCTAGGCCCGTGATGCCCGGGCCTAGGGCGGCACAGACTGGGGGCGGCCAATTTTTCAAAATGTCAAAATTGTAAATCTGATATAATGTAACGACAAATCATTTTTAGGATTTATTTTGATTTTTTTATATTACAAATAAATTTCTATGAAATAGAATGTAATTTATTTTATGATTTATTTTTTTACCCGTGAGTGCAATACTAATAAAAAATATTTTAAAACAGAAATAACTGAATATTGAAAAGCTGACGAATTTTCAAAGCTCTGTTGACTTGTTGTATCTTTAGTAAAGTTAATCTTACAATTGAGACGCTTCTAAATAAAATTGAACAATGTTTTCTGATTTTATTTTCAATGATTCCGGTGTTTCATATATGAATTGATATAAGTATTCATTTGAAATTCATCTTTTTGTTCGTAAATAAAAATATTTTTATTCTTCAAATATTTAAGAAGCTAGAGCGGTGGTACATATATCAATGGAGAGGGGAGGGATGCTGGAGAAAAGAAAGGGAATTTCAAGGTCACAGGTAACCAAAACTCGACATTAACATCCTAGAAGATGTAACCACCTCCATTAAAATGCCACACAAAATCATCACTGATTGCGGCACAGCCGTTCTATCCAAAAAAAAAGTTAAGCACACCTACTGTATGGTTATTAGCCCCAAGTTATTCTGAAGAACTCCCTGGCAAACGCATTTTAAGAAACAAGAGTTATTGGTTCCTTTATTGTTAGTAAGGTGCTGTCAAACGACAGATATTTAGTAGAAGATATACCACATGCCCAGAAAAAGAAAGTAGGCTTACTCGTCCAACACGATGAAGCGCTGGTGCCAAGTGCCACCGGATGACCCAGATGAAGGTTACGATTCTGAGAATAAACCAGGAACACTTCCCGAGCATTTCGAGGACGCTGCGATTTTTCCCCCGCGCACGCCATTTTAATGTGATAAGTAATCCTTCTTCAAGTTTGATCGACTGTTCGATTGGAACAATTATCAACTCAACAATTACCACATGTCTACCAGGGTAGAAACTAAATTGATTAACTTCCCTCAAAATACAAATTGCTTTATTCGTTTAAATTTGCTATGAACCGTGTTTTTATGTTTTTCAGATACCACCATCAGTCAGCAGGAAAGTCAATCAGTTGTTCTACCGTGTCCCGTTAATGTCGACAAGTGTGGAAAACTGCACTCACTAAATTGGTTTAAGGGCGATGATCGCATTGCAGCAATGCTCCTCGGAGACAGTAATGTGACAAGCGTTAATAAAGAATTTGAAAAAAGGCAAGAAGGAATACAAATAATTACATTTATTAAAGATATTTAATTTTTATCTTTTATAGAGTAACTGTTGAGCAAAACCCATACAGATTAGTTATCAGAGACTTGAAAATAGACGACGAAGATATATATCTATGTGATACTACATTTTTTATACCAGAAGAAACATGTGATAACTTTAATGGATATCGAATTGAATTAAGAGTCTTAGGTAAGAAAATCAACTAATAATAGCTAATTAGTGAAATCTCTTTTTAAATATTACATCCTAATTGCATGTTTAAAGTAATTTTAATGTTTTAATTTGCTCTACGGATTCGTTTGCTTTTGCTCAATTAAGTTTGCTTCATATATTATGTTAAGTGGATTCTTATGCTTAAAACTGTGATCGTTTATACTTTTTGGTGCTTTCTTTTTGTCTGTGAAAACACAATAGGGTTTTTCGCAACAAAGATTTATTAACCCCTTTTTAGAGAATACACAAAGATAAATAGAAGCTCTTAGAAAATTAGTTAGTTTTAGCGAGTCGAAGGTTTTACATGTACCCTTGCATTTAGAACTTCTCAAATCCATACAAACAATATTTTAAAATTTGTTAATTTTATACTTACAGCGTCATTAATAAAGTGTATTGTCTAGTACTTCATAAGTTTTGCCAGTTTTTTCCCATTCTGCATCAATTATCGGAACATTGCTTAATTAAATTTATTTATAGTTTCAACGATTGTGCCTATGATAGCTAAATTCTATCGTCGTCCGATTTTATGTAACATAATTAAATTTAAAAATCAAAAGTCAATTAAAATTTCATGCTTGTTTGTGTGTTACGATGGTTATATTTTGTTTCCTTAATTGAATATGGATTCGTCACTGCCGAATATGTTGAGCATGCCCTTGTCCAAGAAAATTTCATCATCCCACCTGCTTTGGTGCGTTTTGTAGCACTCCTGGGCAAACTTCTTCCTTACCTTCTCATAGCAAAGCCTTTTTCCGAGCGACTCTGCCGTTGTACCCGCATTCTAATGGTACGCTAAATTTCGGTTTCTTCTCGGTTAGTCAATTTTTTGTGTTGTCCTTTTTGGTTTAATTGACGCTGCTATTCCCTCATTTTTAAAGGCGTATTCGCCTTTATTTTTAGGTTATGGGTACCCTTTAAATGTAGCTGCAGCACAAGTTTGCGTTGCTCCAAGGAAGTATTTTTGATTTTTGGGTCCATTTGAAAATTCGGAGCTAGGTCTACCTTTTTCGGTACGTTTGCAATCAATTTGAGCTTAGATATTAGACTAGACAGTGCAATCAATTAAGAGTTTCCATGGGGTTCTATTATACAACTTCCCGAAAATACCGAATAATACACTAAATCATATTTTTTATTTATTTTTGTTTATAAATGTTTTACCTTTTAAATTAAAGCAAAATGTATGTAAATTAAAATATATGTACGTACGTATGTACATTTATTTAAGCTTTTTAAATTTTTGGTTTTTGTTAGTTTTATAAATTTTATTTTGATTTAAAGTTGAAAAATAAAAACGGACCACTAATGTGATTGTGTAATCATAATATTTACTTAATGTGTTTTTAGTAGTTGTTTAAAATGTCGATTTTTGAAAAAACTGTCTTGCGTTATAAAAAAAGAAGAAAGGAAGCTAGCTTCGGCAAGCCGAAACTTACATATATAACCTTGCAGTCATAAAATTTGTCGTTCAAAATGCAAAAAGGCTTAACAACATCGAAGCTCTGACGATTTTTCTATTCATTATACCCTTGCAGAGCAAAGGGTATTATAATTTCAGTCAGAAGTTTGCAACGGAGTGAAGGAAACACCTCAGACCCCATAAAGTATTTCAAATCAGATCGTGAGGCTGATCAAGAATATAAAGTATGTATGGGTGATTCCATATCAGATTTACAGTCGATATTGGGAAATTCGATGAGATATTTTTTCATGCTCTTTATCGAAAATAAATCGACACGTATTTTTTTATATGGCTCAGAAAATTTTTTTGACAATGTTATGATTTTTTGAATTTTTGATGAACTTTGAAAATTTGATGACAGTCGCGTTTTCCAGCCCCAATAACTCGATAACCGTAAGTCGCAGAAAAAAAATGTATAGGAAGTAAAAATTTCATCCTTCCTTCTTCTTTGCAAAACTTTCGTGAAATAATTTTTTTAAACAATTTTTCACCACAAAAAGTTCAAATGTTTACAATAAATTAATTTTTCTCCAATTTGGACAATTTTGATTTTTTTTTTTTTTATCACAATAAATCCTTCAAATTCTTCTGATGAACATACTTAAATTTCAGAATGGTATCAAAATTAGTTTGTAAGTTAAAGAATTAAATAGCATTAAAAATTCATTTCATTGACCCTTACTATGCGCGCGCGAAGGGAATTGACGCTCGTTAGAGTCGTTGGTCGGCGCACGCCCTGAGACCGATCGCGCGGAACGTGCATGATGATCTTGAATATTCTATAACTCACAAACTAATTTTGATACCATTCTGAAATTTAAGTATGTTCATCAGAAGAATTTGAAGGATTTATTGTGATAAAAAAAAAAAATCAAAATTGTCCAAATTGGAGAAAAATTAATTTGTTGTAAACATTTGAACTTTTTGTGGTGAAAAATTGTTTAAAAAAATTATTTCACGAAAGTTTTGCAAAGAAGAAGGAAGGATGAAATTTTTACTTCCTATACTTTTTTTTTCTGCGACTTACGGTTATCGAGTTATTGGGGCTGGAAAACGCGACTGTCATCAAAAAAAGGGCAGTTCATCAAAAATTCAAAAAATCATAACTTTGGCAAAAAAATTTTCTGAGCCATATAAAAAAATCGTGTCGATTTATTTTCGATAAAGAGCATGAAAAAAAATATCTCATCGAATTTCCCAATATTGACTGTAAATCTGATATGGAATCACCCGTATATACTTTATGGGGTCTGAGGTTTCTCCTTCACTGCGTTGCAAACTTCTGTCTGAAATCATAATACTCTTTTGCTCTGCAGGGTATAACAACGTTATATTATGTGTTTATTATTTTATAAAGACCTTGCGTGCCAACTTGTTGCAGTTGGAGTCGTTTACGGGAGAGACTTTATCGATGGCTTAGGGCAGACCTATGTATGTATGACCTGATAAAATAGAGTTGATTTCAAAATTGACCATTCTTAAACGGGCTACTTGCAATAGCAAAAAGTGCACCAATGCCTCTGAAGGTTGGGATTTGCGAAGATTTCCTCAACCGCATCCAGCGGTAAAGAAGTAAAACCTTTCAGCTTAGGGCACTACAACTCCGGGGAGTCCGTTCCTTGTCGAGGATCAAAGGCAGTAGTACTCAAAATAGCTTCATTGTGCAGCTGATGCCACGAGGATGGTAGCTACCATCACGTAGATCAGTTTTGGCCGTCGCCAGTGGAGCTCTCTAGTATTCCCACCGAATTTAGCCCTAATCGACACCTATCTGAAATAAGAGTAAAATTTAGTTTATTTTGCTAAGAATTCAATTCCTTACTTGTGCAAATAATTCCGCAGTTAAGCTCGAAAGTTTTTATGACACTGGCGTGTCTTATTCATTGCGTTCGAGTCGGACGACTAAATTTTATAGCTCATATAGGAAAAAAATTACAATTAAATTACAAAAAATTAATCGTATAAAGATAATTTTTGGCAGATGTTGATTCCTTTTCAAATATAAGATATAAATTATAGAAAAATCATTAACGCTTCGATTTTGTTAAACTTTAATGCGTTTTGCTTGACACTAAAAATGTTACGATAGATATTATCAGTATTATTTCTATAAAGATAATATAAATTACCCAATGTCGGTCAAATAGTATGATATGTGTTTTTTTTTAAATATTATATCCTGTATAAGTTTGTTATGTAGGGGAGAGTGGGGATAGGTGAACCATGGGGATAGATGAACCACTAGTAATATTTCACCTTCTATCAGGATTTTGTGCACCATCTTCATATGTGTTGTTTATCCAATCGGTATCTTAACATCACACATTTCAAAATATTCCATTAGCCTGAAAGGTGGTTCAACTATGTTTGTGGGGTTGTTCAAGTATCCCCACGGGTTGGGATACTTGAACCATTCGAGACAAAAATTTAAAATGCTCATAAAGTTCAAAAAACGTGACATATTATTTTCACAAAATACTTTAAATGCAAAGGAATGAATGCTCTTTTAGATTCCTATAAACAGCAGACCCTAACGTTGTATTGTTCAGACATAATAATGTTCAACAAAAAAAGTGGTTCACCTATCCCCACTCTCCCCTATATTTGTTTTTTTCACTTTATACAGTGTAATATAGTAATTATTCTGCGCTCGAAATGTTGGTAAAATTTAAATTTTAAAAGTCAAAAACAAATCCCACGAGCATAATATTCAAAATGTGGAGTTTTTTAATAACCCTTAAATCGAGAAAATAATTTCATTAAAATAATTTCATTATCGAAAAAGCTATATAACAAGAAAGGAAGCTAGCTTCGGCAAGCCGAAGCTTATATACCCTTGCAGTCATCAAATATGTCGAACAAAATGCATAAAGGCTAAAAAACATCGAAGCTATAACGATTTTTCTATTTATTTTCCATATTTCCAACTATAGATCATATGGGAGCTATATGATATAGTTGTCCGACTTTGATCAAATTTAATTCGTAATTTAAGAGTCGTAAGAAAACTCTATATTTCAAAAATCATACTTGTCTGATGAAAAACCACGATGGTATAATTTTACTTCCGTTATTTCTATATAGATTTTTCGATCTTCCCTATGGCAGCTATTAGATATAGTTGTCCGATTTTTATGAAACTTTTTTCCCAATATAAGAGTTGTTAAAAAACTTGATATTCAAAAAATCATGCTCATGGGGTAAAAAACAACGATGTTATCAATTTATTTCCATTAATTCTATATATATGTTTTGATGTCTCCTTTGGCAGCTATATGATAGAGTTATCCGATTTTGATCAAATTTAATCCGAAATTCAATAGTAGCTAGAAAACGCCATCTGGAAGAATTCAAGTCGATCTGATCAAAAACAACGACCTGAGAATTTTTAATTTCATTCTCTCGTATTGGAGCTATCCGATATAGTCGGCCGATCCGGCTCGTTCCGACTTATATACTGCGTGAAATAACTACACAACTTTTGGGAAAGTTTCAGCAAGATAGCTTTAAAACTGAGAGACTAGTTTGAAGAGAAACAGACAGACGGACAGACGGCCAGACGGACAGACGTACAGACGTTTTCTGATTCTACTCGTGATGCTGATCAAGAATATATATACATACGTTATGGGGTCTGAGGTGTCTCCTTCACTGCGTTGCAAACTTCTGACTGAAATTATAATACCCTTTTGCTCTGCAAGGGTATAAAAATAACGGAAATAAAATTGTGACATCGTTGTTTTTCATCAGACAAGCATGATTTTTGGAATGTAGAGTTTTCTAAACTCTAAAATTTCCAATTAAATTTACTATTTCATATAGCTGCCATATGAACAACAGTCGAAAATATGAAAAATAATAGATAAATTGTCACAGCTTCGATGTTGTTTAGCCTTTATGTATTCTGTTCGACGTATTTGATGACTGCAAGGGTATATATTCGGCTTCCCGAAACTAGCTTCCGTTCTGGGTTAATTTTTGTTTGCTTGATAGAGTTTTAAAGGGCTTTGCATGGCTTTTAAGCTGTTTAAAGATTGTGAGATCTAGTTTTACTTCAATAAACAAAATAAACAGTTTTTGGTAATTGCTTTTGCGTTGTATGCAAGTTTATTTATTTCTATGTCTAAGCCGTTAACACCAAAACCATTTACCTTTAACCTTTCTCTTTCTCTTTCATTTATTCTTCTATAAACTCATAATAATATTTTTCATAACTAATTGTTCTTTTTTAAAAACAACCACAAATCATATCAAACTGATCGTCAACAACGACATGGAAATCCTTGTATGCTTTTACCCACGTATTGCAAACTAAAAATGTGCTAAAATATTTTGAAATCACCGAAATACAACCAATGAATTTCCACGTACCACGAAAAAAAAAACAAACCGAATCGACGGCTTGCCACTGATTTTTTTTTTACCACTAATTTCAATGCTGTCTTCGATGTTTACCTTACAAATAAATTTAACCTTAACTTCATATGGATTCAAACTGTACACCATTGAAATACTCATTATACACGTAAACTTTCTGCAACTTAAATAAATACTTACTAAACTTAGAAAACATTGGTAAATAATCTCTATAAATAACAGTAAATACATTGGGTGTTTAGTTTGTAAGGAACAAAAAGATTGTTCACTGAGATAAACAAGTCTATGAAAAAATAAATTAGTTAAAATTACCTCAAGACACGTTATGTTGATTCTGTTTTTTTGTAATTACTGTTATTGGTTAAAAAAACATTGAAAAAGATGAATTTTATTTTTATTGATAACACTTACCGTATAATTACATTTCTTATTGGTTTAAAACTACTTTTCTTTCTATTTATATTATACATTATATATTTTTTAAAAGACTACATTTCAAATTGTTTCCTTCTTTTAAATTAAACGCCACTTACACACAATCAACACCACTTGACAACCAATTTTATATGTCGGATTTTAAACAAACATTCAGTGCCACCCACTGAGGTTGTTATTTTGGATGCAAAAGGAGATCGAATAGAGAATGGCAGCGTATTGGGACCCATGCAGGAACGTCAGTCACTTAAAGCGACCTGTACTGTGAAGAACACTCGCCCTCAACCAGAAGTGGGCTGGTTCCGCGGAACAAAAAGGCTGACAACTTGTAAGTATTATAACGACGCATTTCCGCGAATGTATCGTATGTTGAAAAATCAAATTTTACAGGAGAAGCTTTTTCTTTATTTTTGTATTTCGGTATTTTTGTGCGATTGCAGTATTTTCAGGCAATTGAAATAAAATTTGTATGGACATACGATAATTTCGCGCGCACATTGAAACATACGATAAAATTGAAACTTAATTTTTATCGGAACTATGTATAAGGCTTTCAGTTATAATATTACACAGGGTAGTGAGACATTAGGTGCCTAACAATTTTGCATTAAAATCTCAATTTCCAAAAAAAGCGACATACGATACTTTCGCGGAAATGCGTCGATAAATTTGAACTTGCTTTATTTTGCTTTACTTTTATGTGTATTAGTTTTCTCGTTGTGGAGGAAAAATTAAAAAAGATATTTATATAGTAGTCATTCCTGAGTGGTTGGAACGGAAAGGAAATCCCTTTGCTCACATTTTCTTCCGTATTTTACAGATTCACCCACACATGACCTAAACGGTGGTCTCTATACGTCGACACTTGAGTTGGACTGGCAATTGTCCCGCGAAGATCTTGCCCAAGATATCGAATGTCGTGTAAAATCTGCAGCAATACCAAATACAACCGTAGTACTATTCAGCTTGGACCTGCAAGGTGAATAAAATGATATCAGTAGAATCTTATGCCTAACATTGTTATTGTTACCTTTACACATTCAATATCCTGAACTTCAAATTTACAATGTTCTGATCAGTTCAATTTTACATTTTTATACCCATGCAGCGCAGTAACAAGTAACAAGTCCTTTAAGGTACAAGATGTGTTAAAATGTCGGAATGCTTTTAAAAAAAATATGTCGAGCAAAATACATAAAGGCTAAACGACATCGAAGCTTTGACGACTTTTCTATTAATTTTCCATATTTTCGACTGTTGTTCATATGGCAGCTATATGATATAGTCGTCCGATTTTTATGAAATTTAATTCGTAATTTAAGAGACGTTAGAAAACACTATATTCCAAAAAGCTTTTCTGATGAAAAACAGCGATGTTATAACTAGAGCTCGGATAGTCATGCAAACGCATGTTGCATGCATATTGTGCATATTTCATTCTCATTCTGATGCGAATAACAACAAAAAACTTAATACATTCTATTACAAATCTATCTAATTGTGTATAAGATTATTGCGTGGAATTGAAAGTAAATTGACTTTCACGTTGTTTATTTTCATCAAATGATCAACACTAGGTACATTGATAACTTATTAATGGATTCTCAATGACTAATCATAATAAACGCTTTATTATATTCTTAAATTATCATTCGTCTCCTGGTATTTAAAGTTATCGGTTGTTTCGAATCAAATTTATATTGCGTATGAAAGTCGAATTCCCCAAAGTATTTCGGTCTGATAAGTCAGTTTTATTTTGTACGTATTGTGAATGTGCAGTTTAAGGAAAAAAATATTCCAAGTAAATCAGCATATTGCATCATTAAAGGGAAGCCAATCGTTAAAATCGGATCTTGAACCAAAACCAACCAAATTTGTCGAAGTTCAATGTAAATCTGTGCAAAACTTTAGCTTTTAAATAAAGAACCGCCTTTTCCAACATATTATGAATATTTTTTGCATGATTCTTTCATATTTTATTGTATTTTTGAATGCATATTCTTGAGCATATTTTGCTATTTTTCGTGCATATTTGCATGCATATTTTGGCCTTTTTTCGTGCATAACTATCCGAGCTCTAGTTATAACTTTTTTTCTGGTATTTCTTTTAAGGCCAGGTTCCTCCAAAAAACGTACTTTTTTTCAATTATGTAATTTTATTTTTATAACAGAAAATGTTGAGTATTCAATTTTTTTTTTTGTGTTCTGTTTTGAAGTAGCTATGGCCTGAACCAGAATGAAAGATTTTCCATGAAAATTAAAAAAATTTGCGGTCTTTTGAATTTTTTCTTAACCTTTTTTTCACTTTTAATTGTTTATAACTTTTTAAAATAATAATGAATATTTCTGGTTCTGGTTCAGGCCATAGCCAGACATCTAAAGAGTAAAATGCCGTTAGGTTCAAATCGATAAGTGCAATAGTTCTGAAATGAGAGTGTCACTCATGCGAAAAAACGTGGTTCGGAGAAAAATCAGTTTGAAGATTTTAAGGCGTTCGAGCGGCCGGATTACCAGCAGCGCTCCTCACTCTTTTATACCTACTTCTCGGTCTTGCTGACCTTCGGGACTAATTCTATACTGGGTGATTCCATATCAGATTTACAGTCGATATTGGGAAATTCGATGAGATATTTTTTCATGCTCTTTATCGAAAATATGGCTCATGGCTCAGAAAATTTTTTGACAAAGTTATGATTTTTGAATTTTTGATAAACTGCCTTTTTTTTGATGACAGTCGTGTTTTACAGCCCCAATAACTCGAAAACCGTACGTCGCAGGAAAAAATCTATAGGAAGTAAAAATTTCATCCTTCCTTCTTCTTTGCAAAACTTTCGTGAAAAAATTTTTTTAAACAATTTTTCACCACAAAAAGTTCAAATGTTTATAACAAATTAATTTTTCTCCAACTTGGACCATTTTGATTTTTTTTTTTTTTTTCACAGTAAATTCTTCAAATTCTTCTGATGAACATACTAAAATTTCAGAATGGTATCAAAATTAGTTTTTGAGTTATAGAATTAAATAGCATTAAAAATTCATTTTATTGACCCTTACTATGCGCGCGCGAAGCGAATTGACGCGCGGACCGTGCATGATAATCTTTAAAATTCTATAACTCAAAAACTAATTTTGATACCATTCTGAAATTTTAGTATGTTCATCAGAAGAATTTGAAGGATTTACTGTGAAAAAAAAAAAATCAAAATGGTCCAAGTTGGAGAAAAATTAATTTGTTATAAACATTTAAACTTTTTGTGGTGAAAAATTGTTTAAAAAATTTTTTCACGAAAGTTTTGCAAAGAAGAAGGAAGGATGAAATTTTTACTTCCTATAGATTTTTTTCCTGCGACGTACGGTTTTCGAGTTATTGGGGCTGTAAAACGCGACTGTCATCAAAAAAAAGGCAGTTTATCAAAAATTCAAAAAATCATAACTTTGTCAAAAAAATTTTCTGAGCCATATAAAAAAATACGTGTCGATTTATTTTCGATAAAGAGCATGAAAAAAATATCTCATCGAATTTCCCAATATCGACTGTAAATCTGATATGGAATCACCCACTATTTCGACGAGTATACAGTATCAATTTATGAAAAAAAAAATTTTTCACTTTTTCAAAATTTTTTAGAGGAACCTGGCCTTAAAATTAAATTTTTTTCTCGATTTTGAAAATCATGCTCGACGGGTAAAAAACAACGACGTCAAAATTTTTTTTTCCAATATTTATATATATATTTTTCGATCTTTCCTATGGCAGCTATATGATAGAGTTATCCGATTTTGATCAAATTTAATCCGAAATTTTATAAGAGTTAGAAAACGCCATCTGGAAAAAATCAAGTCGATCTGATCAAAAACAACGGCGTTAAAATTTTTTATTTTAATCTCTTGTATCGGAGCTATCCTATATAGTCACCCGATCCGTCCCGTTCAGACTAATATACCGCGTGCAATAACTACACAACTTTTGGGAAAGTTTCAGCAAGATAACTTTAAAGCTGAAAGACTAGTAGAGAAACAGACAGACAGACGGACAGACGTATTTCGATTCAGATCGTGATGCTGATCAAGAATATACATACATACATATATACTTTATGGGGTCCGACGTCTCTCCTTCACTGCGTTGCAACCTTCTGATTGAAATTATAATACCCTTTGCTCTGCAAGATTTGATTTCTTCCAAATTACTATCAAATTTCGAATAAAATTTAATCAAAATCGGATAACTATGTATATCATTTAGCTGCCATAAGAAAGATTAAAAAATATATATATTTAAAATGAAAAAAAATTATATCGTCGTTGTTTTTTAATCATATTGACATGATTATGACTACACTTAAATTAAGAAAAAATTTCAAAAATATCGGATAACTTAAATACATGGCTGTCATTAAAATATCGAGCAATTTATATCGAATTAATGGAAAAGAGTGATAAAATTGTTGTTTTTAGAGTTTTAAAATGAATATAGAGTTTTATAAGACTCTTAAATTTCGAATTAAATATCAAAAAATCGGACTACTATATCATATAGCTATCATAGGAACAACCGCCGAAAATATAGAAACTTATTAGAAAAATCGACATATCTTCGATGTTGTTTAGCCTTTATGTATTTTGTTTGACATACTTAATAGGGTGGAGCGAAATTTTTTTTTTTTAATTTTAATATTCCTGTATTATTAATTGATGATACATAGTATTAAAAGTAATTATGCAAAATTTTAGTTTTCTCAATATATATCTTAAGGTGGCGCATTAGGTTTAAAGTTTTGAAATAATGAAATTTTTGACATTCACTTACATATATGATAAATTGAAAACGATATATGGACCTATTTATCAATTTTAAACATAAACAATAAAATAATAAATGAAATCATGATAAATTAACAAAATAAATTTTATTGCCGAAAATCAGTAGTTTCGGGGCGCTCGTTAACTCGAAAATATTGAGATTTGGTGTCGAAAACAGGTATGTCTTGTCGGGCTTTTATTCATGTTCAAATGAATCCATCTCTAGCTTCTGGTCCACAAACTGCTAACGAAGCTTCCGTTACAAGCTTGACACACCTTTCGACAGCCTGAGTGTGGCAAGGATACTTTTTGAAATCCATCAAAGCTCCTGAAGTAATCAGGTTTGAAATTTCTGTGTCGCTATATTTCATTGTCATAGGAGGTTCTGTAATCTTTTCTTTCGTCCAATCTATTAACTCATAATAAGTAGATGCGTCACCCCATAGTTCTGGGACTCGAAATTCGCGAACCTTCATTCCTTTGGTCTCTCGTCGTGCTTTTAACACTCTTCGAAGAGCCAGTTCCCTTATGTGAGACTCATCATCTTGCAACATAGCCAGCAACAAATTCTCTGGGTGTGCGAAGAATGAATTTCTTTGAATAGTTTTCAGTACAATACTTTTCAGGTTATCTGGTAAATACTGACATCTTTTAACCATGTTAAAAACATGAATTGGACCATATTTACATGATGATTTTGTCTTAATGTCGAACCAAGTTTGTGCATAAACTTTCATAATGAAAGTCGCGAGATCGCTCAAATTCTTTTTTGGTTTAGCTTTTCCAATATATAAAAGGAGAATCCTGTTTGCGCAAGTCAACCATCGGGAATGTACCAGTTTTCCTGGGTCTTTGCTAGCTAAGTTGAGCGACACCGAACCAGAAGAAATTGCGGTGCTAATGTCAAACAGATATTTTTGATCAGTACTTAGCAAATTAGGATTTAAAGGTGGCAATTCTGTGGAAATGGCTTCGAATTCCGCCACTTTAAAATCTAAAAAAGCTAGCTGTTTTCCTATATCGCCAGAAAAACTATTAGGGCCTGTTGTTGTTCCATCTAAGCTGGAAAATAAATGTCGAAGTGGTATTTCATTTGCATGTAACAAGCACACAAACCATTGCAATAGGCGTTTCAGGTGTTTCTCTAGTAAATAATAACTCCATTTTTATGTCCTGTATTCACAGCTGTGCCATCGCAACCAACACACATTAAAGATGTTTGATATTCGAATTTACCTTCAAGAAATTCAACAATACTCTTTTCAATCGTCGTCGCTTTCCCAGAATCAATGGAAAGATGTCCGATGTATTCAGAGTCTGGCTCTGATAATATTGAGATGTGTTCTTCTGTGACAGTCTTACGATGCAATGTTTTATCTGTGGTTGTTATCACTAAGGTGTTGTCTTTTCGACCGTCAAAGTAAACAGCCCATAAAGGTTTACTAGCAATAACACTCTGCAAATCTTGGCGTACTTTTTTTTCGCTCTCGACGTATTTTGCTTCGGTCTATAACTTGATTTGCGTTTTTTTTGCTGATTACATTTAAATCGACCAATGCAGCGTTCACAATAAATGCCGCAGATCGATCGGAAATTCCTGTTCTATCGCACGCTGAAGCTAGATTTTGCAGCTTACCTCTCATCTGCTGAGTTTCACTTGGGTATTGTTTAGAGGTTTCTTTTTCTGTAGACATAATACAATCTTCATCAGATTCTGTTTCTGTAGAAGAACTGTCAGACATCCCAATTATATTTGAAGCAGATGAAGAATTACTAGGAGCACACATGGATTTTTGCATACGTGACCAGTGGTCATACTTTCGCTTCCTAATTTCGCCTCGCTGGATAGATTGAGTCATCACCTTGTCAACAGTCCCTATATACCTACATACATTTTGCGATCAGTTCGTTGGTCGTGCAAGAATAATTCTTCAGCAACAGGCACTTTAGTTAGACATTTGCATACTTCTCTAGATATACATTTACATGTTCCGATGTCAAATAACTTTTTTAGAGAATCTTCATAAAATTTTTGTTTCTTGGAGTCATTACGCAGTTTTTTTACACCTTTATACTTGTTGTAATACACAATCAATCTTGCGACAACTTGTTGATGACTAACTGTAGGGATAGATGCTTTAGCCCATATATTTTCGATATCGGTAGCAATTGATTCACAAACATCTTTGATTGAAGGATCTTTTCTATTATTCAACTCTAGTAGATCGTTTTTGTGCCATAAGTAATATTTAATCACATCATTATACGTCGGTAGGGACACCTCAAATCTTTTCGAGTTTTTGGCATTTTGTAACACTTTACTTTCTATTTTCTTTTCGTCGCCACAAGCAATTAATTGTATTTACTTCAAATAAAACCGACTTATATACGAGACATCGGAGCCACTTAAGCTTAAAAATTAAAGTTTTTTGTAAACTTCCTTCAAGGTGCGTGTTAATTCGGGAACAGTTCCAGTTATTATCCCGATATAAATTGATACTTTGTAATTAACGTTGAGATTATGAAATGTGCTTTTTATTTTTCTTGTTCTTATTGTCAAGTGACAGTGTTGACTAATTTTAATGTAAATGTGTAGGACTGCCAACACAATTAATACAAAAGTAAAAGCGCAGGAGGCGCGATTGAATTCAAATGGTGAAGCAGTGCGCCACCTGAAGATTAATTCCTAGGTGTCTAGTTTTTGGTATGAACAGAGGTTTAACTTAGGATCATCGATTGATAATACAGAAAATTTGAAAACAAAAAAAAATGTATTTTTTTTTGCTACTTTCGCTCCACCCTAATACTTAAGCAGGTTCTCACCTTGTGTCGAAAAAAAATCGATTTTTTTCGGCTTTGGCTTTTCGTATAGATATATGTTTTAAGAATGTGGTTAACAAATTTCAGATCATAATTTGAAAAATTACAAGAGTTACAAGAGCACCGGTCATTTAAAGCCACAACTTTAAACGCGTTTATCTCGGAACTACGTTTTCGGACCTTACGGAAGTAATTGAAGGCGTTGGGGTTAACCAATCGTCATAATTTTTTTTTTAAATGTTCCTAATTGTTTCCTTTAACTAATGAACTAGGATTATCCAAAAATATTGAAAACTGTTTAATTGAGAAAATTATTATTGAGAAAAAAAGCGCGAAAATCGAATTTTTTTTTCAAAAGCTAATCATTTTTGCAATTTTTATTTTATTTTTCTGAGCCTAGTTTATTTTATGATAAACACTTTAAGAATCTTTTTGGCTTTTGTGTTTCCGATTACCCGTTACTTACTTCCGTAAGCGGGACACCTTTTTGCCGAAATGCCGCAACTGAGCAACGCTTCCTCCCGCCCCTTTTTTGATTTTTCAATTTTGAGATTTTTTTTTCGAAAAATATATATGTTTTCAATTAAAGTTAAAAAATTCAGCTTTTTCTCTTTAATTGTTTTCTCAAAACAATTTTTTTAAACAGTGCCATTTTCCGATATTTTGTCGCACTCCCCAATGGGAGCTATCTGCTATAGTCGCCCGTTCCGACTTAGGTATATACTGCGTACAAAAACTATACAAATTTTTGTAAAATTTCAGTAAGACATCTTTTAAACTATGAGACTGAAATTATAATGGAATACTTATACTAGCTATACATGCTTAATACTGCTGAAATTTGTGAAATTCGAAAAACGATTTAATTTCGTAAAAAATTTTGAAAACATGAACTATATAGTGCACCTAATGGTTGCTATATTTACTATGTGATTAGAATCTTGCGGATTGATAGAATTTAGATTAAGCTGCAGGGCTAAATAAGTTAGGGTTTTGCTAAAGCTAAATTAATTATTTGTTATTCGCAGCTTTAATTGTTTGGTATTGTATTTGAAACTTTAGTTAGTATCTTGTTTAAAAATACCGAAACGTTTTTTCGTTTTACTCTACAGTACGCCCAACAAGTATCGATATTAATGGAGTACAACATCATACAGTACAAGGCAGTAAAGTGGTTTTAACATGTGATGTAAGTATTTAAAATCAATCGAACAAAATTTTTTTTCGCTGAATACTTATTTGAACACCAAGCAACCATAGTATACGCTTTTTTTTACCCTTTCAGTGAGTTTTCATTTTCATTAGAAGATTGCAACGCAATGATCTTGCCACCTGCGTTTGTCTAATCTACCTCACTTAAACTTTTCCAAAAGTCGTGAACCTATTGGAGTAATATGTATTTTAATAAATATGTAGTTCACCTCATACTACATATATATTAAAATACATAAAGTAATAAAAGTAATCTTATACTACATACACCTTTTACTACTACTTTTAATATTACATATGTATCAAAATACATACATAAAGTAATAAAAAGAAAGGCGATTTTTCAAAATATCGCGGATAGAGCTCGATTATCGACTTTTTTGGTTGTGCGAGGCCTAAAGATTATAAGTATGTATTTTGCATGCTCGGCGATTTTTTACTATCGAAAAATATGGATCTGTTTGATAATCAACTCCGTGCCCATAATTCCCTTTCCATTATTTTTGCTATCTTTCCTATAGGAGCTTTATGATATCGACGCATTTCCGCGAAAGTATCGTATGTCGTTTTTTTTTCGAAATTGAGATTTTAATGCAAAATTGTTAGGCACCGAATGTCTCACTACCCTGTGCAATATTATAACTGAAAGCCTTATACATAGTTCCGATAAAAATTAAGTTTCAATTTTATCGTATGTTACAATGTGCGCGCGAAATTATCGTATGTCCATACAATTTTTTTTCATTTGCATGGAAATACTGCCATCGCACAAAAATACCGAAATACAAAAAAAAAAAAAGCTTCTCCTGTAAAATAAGATTTTTCAACATACGATACATTCGCGGAAATGCGTCGATATAGTCGTCCGATCCGGGTAATTTTACTTTGGGAAAGTTAAAGCGAGATCACTTTAATACTGAGAGTCTTGTGTCTGACTGACATTCAAAAAGTCACTGCAATGGTATAAACAAGGATTCCTTTCTTTTTTTGGCTTTAAATGCTGTGTTTAACGCATCTTAAGCAGTAATAAATAAGAAATCAGTTGAAGTAGTTAAAGTTGTGGCGTCCTTAGGCGTTCACCAGAATAACTAGCTTAGAGATTTCTGATCTATTTATATTGCTTTATCGGTCGCAGCCGAGAAGAGACCGCCTGATACTGAAGCCTTTTCTTACTTCTGCTTTTGAAACGCATACGGAGTTTAGTCTTCATCTTACTTTCCATTATCATGTTCCAAATTAATATACAAACCTCTTTCCTTTACTTTATAGATCCACGGGGCTCGCCCAGCTGTTAATCTTACTTGGTATAATTCGACTTCCTTAATCAGTGCTGATGAAAACGACCAAACGGAAATTCGGATTAAAGCGGTAATAGATATTAGTTTAATCGATCTTTATTAGTTAGACCAAATATGTTTCCATAGCTCGAAAAAGATGATGGGACGTATCACACTCAGTCAGAACTCATCTTTAATGCAACTCGCTTTGAGAATGACCGCGTTTTTCGTTGCGAAGCTGAAAACGTTGTTTTGCAAATCAATCGAGAAAAACCAATTTCATCTGCCCTTACATTAGAAGTTTTGTGTAAGTATGTGTTTCTAAGAGTGGTTAGAAAACTCTATATTCTAAAACAAAAAAACTGGATATTATGAAAATCATGCTCGTGTGATAAAAAAAATTATAGCCTTGCAAATGATGGATTTTTTTATGTAACTTTACAGTGGTGTAATATAACTTAATGATTTTTTTTTCTGTTTTACTTACTGGTAATACAAACTTAAAAATAATGAAATCAACATTTTTGCATATGATTTCGAAAATCTATAAACTAAAGTAAAGTTCATGTGGTGGCATAAGTATTTTGACAAGTACCTTTTAATATTAATAAGAAAGCTTAAACTCAAAAAAAGTAAAGAAAAAAAATGAATTTAGTAAAATATGATATATATAAAATTTTCCTTTGGTTTCAATAACTTTTTGCAGGCGTCGTGGTACTGAATCTATTAAACTTTGGATGATCTCTGGAGATATCTTTTCCCAAAGGGAAGTGATCTCAAAAATTGTCTCCTCTCTCGTTTTATTTCACGATACAGTTCATTTGCGTTTAATAAGAGACCAGACGATTTCAATAATACATATTTAAATCTGGACTTGGAGGTGGCTAATCCAAGGATGTAATGCCAACATCCTTCAAAAATGTTGCCATCATCTTGGCTTTGTTGCATGGGCGTTATCCTGTTGCAGGATAAAGGATTGTCCAATAAGCCGGTCTCCAGAAGTAAAGGCGTTTTCGTTTAGAACCGACAAATATTGGTGTTGGTTCATGGAGCAAGTGACAGGAACGAAGTCTCCCAGTCCATTATATGCCACACATCCCCAGAACATTACAGAGCCTCCACCGTGGCTTACTTTTTGGCGCTTTTTGCCTTTCTACCGTTGGCAATCTTACAAAAAAATTTTTTTTTTTTTGAGGAAATATACTTTGGTCTGTCCATAAAACGCTTCTCCAGAACTCCTTTGGCTTATTGATATGTTTTTTTTTGCAAAGGACAGTCTTTGCTTGTTTTTTTTTTGTTATGTATGGCACGTCCTTGGCTTTATAGGTCTTAAAATCACTTTAATTTAATCGTCGACGGACTGTGCGCTCACTAATTGGGGTCGGCAGCAGATCAGGAAAACATATTTTTTAAATTCCCGTACAGTGATTCGGTCTTCACTGGGTTCTGTTTTGCGCTTAGCACCTCTTCTTCTTAATCTTCTTAAATTACTCAAGTCATTATGCTCTTTAAACTTTTTAAATTGGTAGTGCACTGTCTGACGCGACACATCAAACTCCTTGGCAGTGTCCTTGACTGCGATTCCAGCGTTAATCTTTGCTACCATTGATGATCTGAAAACCAAACTTAGCTCAGACGTTTTACCCATGTTGTTTAATAATTTTTAAAAATTTTATGTTTTAATTACATTTACATACATAATTTTAAGCACAAAAAATGTATCATTCTTGAGTGCTCAAAAATGTGAAAATATGTTCATAAAGATGCTGTCAAAATACTTATGCCATTCAAAAAGCCGTTGTCTGCATGCATTCTTATCACCAGAGAGAGAGAATACAAAAGTTAAGCGAAACAAAATTGGGCATGCTAAAAATATATAGTAAGAGGTGTGTTCAAAAAGTATCGCGAATGTGGAATTTTCGCGGGTTACCTCGTATCGAATTTCGATTTATTTTGTGGCGTTATGTTGGTACTCATGTCTCTGACTTATGCCGACAAGCTCGGCCATTTTGAATGTTTACTTAATTGTTGACAGCTGCTTTGCTTGCACCTCTTTTGGATCGTCTTCGATTTTAACCTATTCAAAAAAATGGATCAAAGAACCTGTATCAAATTTTGTGAGAAAAATCAAATTAAGTGCGTGGATGCATTCCGAATGCTGACTGTGGCATACGGAGAAGCTAACTTGGACCGAAGCAACGTTTATCGGTGGTACAAAATGTTCTCAGAAGGCCGAGAAGATGTGAACGACGAAGAGCGTGCCGGACGCCCGAGCACTTCAACAACAGACGAAAAAATTAATGAAGTAATGGTATTGGCCAATCGTCGAATCACCGTTAAAGAAGTTGCTGAGGACCTAAACATATCGATTGGCTTGTGCTATTCGATTTTTATCATTGATTTGGGCATGAGACGAGTCGCCGCGAAATTCGTACCAAAATTGCTCAATTGAAACCAAAAACAAGAAAGGATGCTAGCTTCGGCAAGCCGAAGCTTATATACCCTTGCAGTCATCAAATATGCCAAACAAAATATATAAAGGCTAAACAACATCGAAGCTATGACAACTTTTCTATTAATTTTCCATATTTTCGACTATAGATCATATGGCAGCTATATGATATAGTTATCCGATTTTGATCAAATCTAATCCGAAATTCAATAGTAGCTAGAAAACGCCATCTGGAAAAATTCAAGACGATCTGATCAACAACAACGGCCTGAGAATTTTTTATTTCATTCTCTCGTATTGGAGCTATCCGATATAGTCGGCCGTTCCGGCTCGTTCCGACTTATATACTGCGTGCAATAACTACACACCTTTTGGGAAAGTTTCAGCAAGATAGCTTTAAAACTGAGAGACTAGTTTAAAGAGAAACAGACAGACGGACAGACGTATTTCGTTTCAGATCGTGATGCTGATCAAGAATATATATATGTAGTTTATGGGGTCTGAGATGTCTCCCTCACTGCGTTGCAAACTTCTGGCTAAAATTATAATACCTTTTTGCTCTGCAAGGGTATAAAAATTTTTTTTAAGAGCTTTGAAGATTGGAAAAACCGTTGGCACAAGTGCATAATATCTCATGGGGATTAGTTTGAAGGGGACAAAATAGATATTCATGAACAAATAAATATTAGGTGCGCAACTAAGTTCTCGCTGTTTGTTAGTAGATGGCTCTAGCAGTAAGAGTTGGTCGATTTTGACATATCCAAAACTTCACAAACCAAGCTTAGACATATGGTAATCAAACTGCTGTGACACATAAGTGATTTCGTTTTCGCATTATATACTTCTGGTTAAGTAAAAATGCTTAATGTTGTGCCAAAAACCCGTCATTTGCGGGAAGTGTTGATTTTCTTCTTCCATTTGAAAAAAGCGGCAGCTCAAGCGCATCGAGAACTCCAAAAAGTGTACGGAAATGCTGCTCTGAGCGAAACAAGACGTCGTGATTGGTTTCGTCGCTTCAAAGACGGGGATTTTGATGTTGACGGCAGTCCTAGTGAAGGAAGAACTAAAACCTTTGAAGACGCTAAGTTAGAGGTCTTGTTCGAAGAGGATTCGTGCCAAGCTCAAGAAGAGCTTGCTTCAGAACTAGGAGTTACCCGTCAAGCCATCACTGGGGAACGGTATCGAACTCAATTGATGCGAAAAGCGGTCACAATGGCAAGTCCTACCCCACCCGCCGTATTCCCCAGATATTGCGCCGTATGATTTTTACTTGTTCCATTCGATGGCACATGGCCTGGCTGATCGGCAGTTAAACTCATATGAAGACATCAAAAAATGGCTTGATTCGTGGATAGACTCAAAAAATGAAAACTGCTGGCTTTAAGGTATACGAGCTCTGCCAGAAAATGGGAAAAAGTAGTGTCTAGCGATGGGCAATACTTTCAATGATTCAGATGTAAAAGTTTTTTTTTAATATAAAGTTACATTTTTATCGAAAAAACAGCGGGAACTTAGTTGCGCACCTAATAATTTTTGAAAAAACACAAAATTCGCGATACTTTTTGAACACACCTCGTATTCTTCGCTTTGCGCCTCAATTTCAAACCGTTATTTGATGAAAGAAGAAGGGAAACTAGGTTCGGCAAGCCGAAGCTTATATACCCTTGCAGTCGTCAAATATGTCAAACCAAATATTGTACATAGAGACTAAACAACATTGAAGCTATGACGAATTTTCTATTATTTTTCCATATTTTCGACTATTGTTCATATGGCAGATATATGATATAGTCGTCCTATTTTGATTAAATTTAATTCGTAAATCAAGAGTCGTTAGAAAATTCTATATTTCAAAAATCATGCTTGTCTGATGAAAAACGATGTTATAATTTTATTTTCGTTATTTCAACATACATTTTTCGATATTTTCTATGGCAGCTATATGATAACGTTGTCGGATCTTAATGATTCAGGAGTTAATAAAAAACTCCATATTTTAAAAATCATGCTTGTGGGATTAAAACCTACGACGTTATACATTTTTTTACATTATTTATATAAATACATATATGTTTTGATCTTTCCTATGACAGCTATATAATAGAGTTATCCGATTTTAATCAAATTTAATCCGAAATTCACTAGTAGTTAATAAACGCCATCTGGAAGAAATCAAGTCGATGTGATCATAAACAACGATGTAAGAATTTATTATTTCATTCTCTCGTATGGGAGCTATCCGATATAGTCGGCCCGTTCCGACTTATATACTGCGTGCAATAACTACACGCCTTTTGGAAAAGTTTCAGCAAGATAGCTTTAAAACTGAAAGGCAAGTTAACAAGTTTACTTTTGCACTGCAAGGGTATAAAAATGACATGGTAAATCCCTGAAGTTTGGAAAAAAAAAACTTCGGTCGTTGTTCCATAATAAAAATATATGTCATGGATAACGATTTGTAACTGATATAATATATTTATATTTTACAACAGATCCCCCCGTTGTTAAAGTAAGTCCATCTGATATCGTCGCCAACACAAGTGAAATAGTTCTTCTTAATTGTGAATATGTTGCGAATCCCGCTTCCTTAACCCAAGTCGATTGGTAAGTAATTTTTTTTTTACAATTTTTGATTAGCAAAATGTCATGACAATTAAACCAGAAGAACATACCATTATAACCCTGGGTATTATGATTTTATTTAGAAATAAACAACGCATCGATTCCCCCTCCGACCCCATAAAGTAAAATATAGGTATATATTTTGGATCAGCATCCTCAGGAGGGCCGATAGAGACATGCCAGCCTGTCCGTTTCGAGTTTTCTGCATCCAGTTTTTAACCCTCCTTGAAACGATAAAAATATTTCATAAAAATCGGACAAACAAAACATTAAATCTCTCCTATGGCAGCTATATGATAAAGTTATCCGATTTAGATAAAATTTAATCCGAAATTCAAGAGTCGTTAGAAAACGTCATCTGGAAGAAATTAAGACGATCTGATCAAAAACAACGGCCTGAGAATTTTTTATTTCATTCTCTCGTATGGGAGCTATCCGATATAGTCTGCCGATCCGGCCCGTTTCGCCTTATATACCGCGTTTTAGCAGGTATAGCTTTAAAACTGAGAGACTAGTTTATAGACGGACAGACTTACAGACGTACATATTTCGATTCTGAACGTGATGCTGATCAAAAATATATATACTTTATGGGGTCTGAGGTGTCTCCTTCACTGCGTTGCAAACTTCTGACTAAAATTATAATACCCTTTGCTCTGCAAGGGTATAATAATTCGACGTAGCACTTAAAAAAACAAGTGTTAGTAAACATACAGTGGCGAGCAAAAGTGAGTGCATGTTCGCAAATCTGACTTTCGTCGTCCAAAAAAACGGAACGGTACGAGATAATTTAACAAAGTAAATTTTTTTATGTTTATTACTTTATTTGTAACAAATGCGAAAAAGAATCAATATTTTAAATTTTAAAAGTTAGAAAGAAAAAACCAAAAAAACACGCATAAACTCACTTTTGCACGTTTGAACCAAATTATTTAAATATATCCATTTTAATATTTAGTCCACAAACCCCTATTAGCCATAATTTGATTAATGCATTTTGGCATTCCCTCTACCAAATTTTGTATAAAATCTTCAGGGATTTGATCCAATTCCGATGTTACGCGTTCCCAAAGGTTAGCCATGTTTTTTGGGGCTGCTTCTTACTGCCCGTGCCGTTTTTTTCAAAATTGATCAAAGATTTTCGATCGGATTGAGGTCGGGACGTTGTGCTGGCCACTCCATCAGCTGAAAATGTTGTTTGCCAAACCATTTTTTGACAATTTTCGGTGTTTGCTTTGGATCACCCATCTTGTTGAAAAACAATTTGGTCTTCGGGATAAGCTTATTTTTCCATAAAATTGGGAAGATTGATTTTTTAAATTTTTAGGTTGTCCTCTTTTCGCATTTTACCTTCTACCAAATGCAGAGGGTCAACATGCCACCATTTGAAGCATCCCCAAACCCCTATGTTTCCGCCGCGATGTTTTACAGTTTGCTTTACATGATGCCTTTGAAGACGTTCACCGGGCTTGCACCAGCAGTATTTCTTTTCATCTGATTGAAAACGGTTAAACTTGGATTCATCAGACCAGATAACACGTTTCCAATCATCAGTAATCCAGTTTTTGTCGTCTTTAGCATATTTCAAACATGCTTTAACGTTCTAGGCAGATAATGGAGGTTTTATTTTTTTAACGCTTGACACATAACCAATGTTATGCAGTGCTCTCCTGGCTGTCCACTGGCTAACATTTTTATTAATGGCCATAGAAGCACCCTTTTGTGTCAGCAACTTGACTTTTCGCATTTTGGACATTAATAGTCGAGCATCTGAGTCTGTCAATAATTTTTTTTACCTTTGACTAGCGGTTTGGGAGTCACATTTCGCCTTTTTTGAGCTGCAGTCCCAGAAACACACCGAAAATTGTCAAAAAATGGTTTGGCAAGCCGAAGCTTATATACCCTTGCAGTCGTCAAATATGTCAAACCAAATATTGTACATAGAGACTAAACAACATTGAAGCTATGACGAATTTTCTATTATTTTTCCATATTTTCGACTATTGTTCATATGGCAGATATATGATATAGTCGTCCTATTTTGATTAAATTTAATTCGTAAATCAAGAGTCGTTAGAAAATTCTATATTTCAAAAATCATGCTTGTCTGATGAAAAACGATGTTATAATTTTATTTTCGTTATTTCAACATACATTTTTCGATATTTTCTATGGCAGCTATATGATAACGTTGTCGGATCTTAATGATTCAGGAGTTAATAAAAAACTCCATATTTTAAAAATCATGCTTGTGGGATTAAAACCTACGACGTTATACATTTTTTTACATTATTTATATAAATACATATATGTTTTGATCTTTCCTATGACAGCTATATAATAGAGTTATCCGATTTTAATCAAATTTAATCCGAAATTCACTAGTAGTTAATAAACGCCATCTGGAAGAAATCAAGTCGATGTGATCATAAACAACGATGTAAGAATTTATTATTTCATTCTCTCGTATGGGAGCTATCCGATTTAGTCGGCCCGTTCCGACTTATATACTGCGTGCAATAACTACACGCCTTTTGGAAAAGTTTCAGCAAGATAGCTTTAAAACTGAAAGGCAAGTTAACAAGTTTACTTTTGCACTGCAAGGGTATAAAAATGACATGGTAAATCCCTGAAGTTTGGAAAAAAAAAACTTCGGTCGTTGTTCCATAATAAAAATATATGTCATGGATAACGATTTGTAACTGATATAATATATTTATATTTTACAACAGATCCCCCCGTTGTTAAAGTAAGTCCATCTGATATCGTCGCCAACACAAGTGAAATACCAAATGCAGAGGGTCAACATGCCACCATTTGAAGCATCCCCAAACCCCTATGTTTCCGCCGCGATGTTTTACAGTTTGCTTTACATGATGCCTTTGAAGACGTTCACCGGGATTGCACCAGCAGTATTTCTTTTCATCTGATTGAAAACGGTTAAACTTGGATTCATCAGACCAGATAACACGTTTCCAATCATCAGTAATCCAGTTTTTGTCGTCTTTAGCATATTTCAAACATGCTTTAACGTTCTAGGCAGATAATGGAGGTTTTATTTTTTTAACGCTTGACACATAACCAATGTTATGCAGTGCTCTCCTGGCTGTCCACTGGCTAACATTTTTATTAATGGCCATAGAAGCACCCTTTTGTGTCAGCAACTTGACTTTTCGCATTTTGGACATTAATAGTCGAGCATCTGAGTCTGTCAATAATTTTTTTTACCTTTGACTAGCGGTTTGGGAGTCACATTTCGCCTTTTTTGAGCTGCAGTCCCAGAAACACACCGAAAATTGTCAAAAAATGGTTTGGCAAACAACATTTTCAGCTGATGGAGTGGCCAGCACAACGTCCCGACCTCAATCCGATCGAAAATCTTTGATCAATTTTGAAAAAAACGGCACGGGCAGTAAGAAGCAGCCCCAAAAAACATGGCTAACCTTTGGGAACGCGTAACATCGGAATTGGATCAAATCCCTGAAGATTTTATACAAAATTTGGTAGAGGGAATGCCAAAATGCATTAATCAAATTATGGGTAATAAGGGTTTGTGGACTAAATATTAAAATGGATATATTTAAATAATTTGGTTCAAACGTGCAAAAGTGAGTTTATGCGTGTTTTTTTTGGTTTTTTCTTTCTAACTTTTAGAATTTACCTTATATGATATTGATTCTTTTTCGCATTTGTTACAAATAAAGTAATAAACGTAAAAAAATTTTGTTAAATTATCTCGTACCGTTCCGTTTTTATGGACGACGAAAGTCAGATTTGCGAACATGCACTCACTTTTGCTCGCCACTGTATGTAATATATAATATACATACATAGGTAAATGAATAGGTGTATAGATAGTAAACATTTTATGCTGACATTATTCGTTCGAGGCTGCACACATGATATTACTTAAAACTAAAAATGTATTTAAATTAAGGGTTCATTAAATTCGTCAAACAAAGGAAAATTCAAATTCAATTTTAAATTAGCAAAACATTGGCAAAATTATCTGACACAAGACTTATTCTCAGCGCACAGTGGTTGCACCCAAAAGACAAAATTCAAAAAAATTATAATAAAAATTTGCGAAAAGTTACCAAATTCCTCTTTAAGATGACCAAGCTTCTTATAGCAAACAGGTTTCAAATGGGTATCTAACGGGACTTCATAAAAATAGATTTGAAGCTGTGATATATACGAGGTGTGTTCAAAAAGAATCGCGAACTTATTTCAAAAATTATTTATTTGTTCATGAATATCTATTATGTCCTCTTCAAAGTAATCCCCATGACATATTATGCACTTGTGCCAACGGTTTTTCCAATCTTCGAAGCACTTCAAAAAATCATTTTTTTTACATTATTTTCTTTCCTCGGAATGTTTTTCGTGCAAGAAGTAAAAAAGTGAAAAAAAAAGTTTATTCTAAAAACCAAGATAAAGGTAAGTTATAACATAAATATTTTTCTTTGTATATCCTAATTTCCGCGTGAACATAGGAATTTTTACTAAAACTAAATATTTAGTAGTATGTAAGTTTTTTATTTAAACTTGGATTTCAATTTTACAAGAACAAAGTAAACAAGTATTCGATTGGAAAGGTCGCTAACACCCACAAAGAACAAACAAATATTTTTTTTTAGAATTTGTAATAGATTCGACATCAAAGATTCTGACCCATATGTCAATATAAACGGAAAATCTGAACGTGCGCAAGCGGACATTTCCGATTTCGTCATTTGAAGAACTCGGCCATTTGGACTCCGATGCCGAAGCCAATCCAGAAGCCTTTGTAAGTACTCACTAAATTTTTAATAAGTTCCAATAGCCCTGTGTTCTTATGCTTGTTACTATGTAATTACATTTTTTTTTTAAATTTTCAGCTAATTTGTGTATAAACTGATTTGTTTTAAATATGTAACAAAATGTGAATGTAACAAAATTATTATTCCTCTAAGGTTCAGTCCTTGGACTGTAAATAGATTAATAAATGCATATACCAAATTAAAAAAGTATTGTTTTTGTGGATTAGGGAGGGGGTCGTGGAAAATCACCTATTGCACTTAAATGGAAATTCAATATTGCAGTTCAATGGAAATGCTTATATTGCGGGAAGGCCAAAAACCAGTGGATCTCTGGCTGCTGAATGCAGTCCAAATTCAACTGGTTTTTGTCCGGCATTCAGCAGCCAGAGATCCACATAGGTACCTCCTTTACCCCTTACTTTTGTGTGTCACCCCCGTGTATTTTGAAAGGAGAGATGGAAGAAATGTAAGGGGTGAATGAGGTTTTTTCCCTACTGCTTGTATGAAGAAACCTCTGGAAAATAGCATATTTCCCGCTGGGAAAATAGCGTACACACACAAGCCCGTATGAGATTTTAGCAAATTGACCTCCAACAAGTATACATATACATATGTAAATCAAATCACTCTTTTGGTCTCCTGATTGCTGCGCAAAATATGTATGCGGTTCTCCGCCCACTAGCCGAAAATGTTTAAATTTAAGCTGGAGCAGTATAGTTGCTCTTAAAGTACGGTCCGTAAAATTTTAAAATCTTGTCTTTCTGTTCACTGGCCACTACAAGATCAGCATTTGATCAGAAGTTTTTTGTAACCCAATTCTTTTGGATTTCGACATAAGATTCGCATTACCATACAAACAATATTGAACGCATATGGTATGTAATGGGCAGGACGAGGAGGCAAATTACTTAACTACAAAGAGTTGCAAGTCAGTGCAAGGGGTGCAGAAAGCTATCAATTTAAATGTGCATGCACTTATAAATAAATTTTCGCCTAAGCTAATATTATTAAGATGAACAATAAGCTGATCACATCACAAAGCTTCAATTAACAAAATACGGGAAGCTACAAGGAGAGAGCATTTTTGAACAATTTTATATGAAGTTCTTTAGTACCTAGACAAGGCGAGCCTGCCGTTGGCAAAAATTCTTAAACACGATTAAATTTTATAAACAACAGATTGTTGTTGGTTTATTTGAAATGTTTAAGCTATAGATGATATTTGTGAGAACTATCTTAAGTGTATTTGTAACAAGTAACCGTTTCCATAATATATTATAATTAATGTGTTTTTTGTCTTCAGGTATCGAAATGATAATCTCGTAAACGTTAACGACACGGACCATTATAAAGGCGGTAATTCAGAGAACGTAGCCCTAATTATTAAATCTACAGATAAAGACGACATTGGCAATTATTCTTGTCAGTTGTCAAATACTATTGGCAAGGGAATTTCTGATCAAAAAATTTATCTTGATGTGCAGTGTAAGAATTTTTTTCAATATTTTGTTTTGCCTAATCTAATTTACCTACAATATTACAGATGTACCAACTGTCGAGATTTTAATGATACCAGAAGGTCCCGTTAAAGAAAGCGATGAATCCAATGTTACCCTATTTTGCAACATATTGGATGCAAACCCGCAAGTTCTCACTAAAGTGAGGTGGTACGCTAACTCGACGCTTCTTAAGGAGCTTCCAGACTGTGAAGAAACCAGGGTAAGAAACTATGACTAAAAACAAGAAAGGAAGATAGCTTCGGCAAGCCGAAGCCTATATACCCTTGCAGTCATCAAATATGTCGATCAAAATGCATTAGGGCTAAACAACATCGAAACTATGACGATTTTTCTATTAATTTTCCATATTTTCGATAATTTTTCGTATGACAGCTATATAAAGATTTTTGATCTTTTCTATGGCAACTATATGATAACGTTGTCGGATTTTAATAAAATTTTTTTCTCGATTCAAGGGTTTTTAAAAAACTCCATGTTTTGAAAATCATGCTCGCGGGATTATTTTTATATACATTTTTCGATCGTTTCTATGGCAGCTATGTGATAGAGTTATCCGATTTTGATAAAATGTAATCCGAAATTCAACAGTTGTTAGAAAACGCCATCTGAAAGAAATCAAGAAGTCGATCTGATCAAAAACAACTGCCTGAAAATTTTTTATTTTTTGACACGTGATGTTAAGATTTCAGATTCTAATTGGTAATCTGCACGCAAAATCCCTAAAAATTTCTAAAGTTTGCCTGGTGCTAAAAAAAAAGTGTGTTTGTGATACCTTCGAAGTCGATAAAGAAGTAATTCTTGCAACTAAAAATATGTTTGTTTTTTTTTGTTTAAGGAGGACCTATGCCATATAGACCCGAGTAAACTTTTATTGGAAAGTATTGGACGCGGCTTTTTCTACAATTACTCCTGTGAGGGTTTCAATTCTGCTGGCTGGGGTCCACGTAGTGAGGACAAAGAACTAATGGTATGTTAAAGTTTCTATTATTCCGAATTTTCGTTGATACACTTTTTTAATAGGTGCACTATGAACCGGGGTCTGCTGAACTCACTCATTTTCCCTTGGTCGCCGTGAAAAAAAAGAGCGTTACGTTCTCGTGCTCCGTGGAAGATCCCGGATATCCAGACTCGAATAGGTTTGTAACAGACCAAGGCAACCAGAATCACAAAACCAAGAAAACACAACACGCACGGTTCATCAATTTCCATTCGGTTCAAGCTTTGCAACCACAGGAAGCCGATTTAGCTTTCGAAGCACTGCTCTTGCACAAACATCGAGAACATCTACAGTCCAGTGCTCCATCAAAAATATCATCCAGAAATCTAGATCCTGAAATTAAAGAAACTCATGCTTTAATTGATTTACATATAAACCATTCCCTTTGTACATTACTCACGCTCACCACCTACATGCCACAAACGCAAATCCTAACTCTTTACACGGGGGAACAGTTAAAGACCGATTCGTACGCCTCCGCATCATCCTATGCCCTATACCGAAAATTGGGCAAATTTTCATTTGTTGCTCAAATAGTTTCGAAACCCAACAGATTTCGTTGGCTACGTGGCGGTCGAGGTCCGCTCCAGGACATTGTGACAAAGGACTGGACGGTGGAACCGGTTGGGTTAGACAGCCGTACCAACTATTCCTGTTACGCCTACAACGAGGGAGGCAAAGGTGAAATGGCTACCATTAACTTGGAGGTACATGCGCCCCCATTTTTTATCAAGAACTTGCCACCTTACACGGGAATACTACACACATCGACCAATGCGACCTTAACATGTCGCATTGAATGTGTCCCGCGTTGTGACATTTCTTGGCTAAAAGATGGGGAGACAATAGATAAGAATGACACTCGATACTTCATTAAGGAGAAGTACATGGAGGCATCACCTGCTACAGGAGATTTTGAAAGCATGCTATCAGTTTTGGTAAGTACGACTTAGTTAAAACAAAGAACAAGAAAAGAAGCTAGCTTCGGCGACCCGAAGCTTATAAACCCTTGCAGTCAGCAATTATTTCGAAGAATATACATAAAGGCTAAATAACATCGAAGTAATAACGACTTTTATATTAATGTTTAAATTTTCGACGATTGTTTCTATGACAGCTATATGATATATGAACTTGAAAATCGAGAGTCATTAGAAAACTCTATAAAGTACCTATTCCAAAAAATTATCCTTGTCCGATGAAAAATAACGTTATCATGTTTAGGAAAATATATACTTTATCCTAACAATAGCGAGCTAATTTCTTCAAAATCTGTGACTAGGTCTTTCGACTTTAATTATTTTCAAGTCGTGATAACTTTATATTCAAAACATCTTGCTTGCATCGATGCTAGTACGATTTTTCTATTAATTTTCCATATTTTCGACTATTGTTCATATGTCAGCTATATGATACAGTTGTCCGAAATTTCATTCGTTTTTCCAGAGTCCTTAAAAAACTTTATATTCCAAAAATCATGCTTGTCTGATGAAAAACAACGATGTTATGATTTTATTTCCGTTAATTCTATATAGATTTTTTCGATCTTTTCTATGGCAGCTAAAGCTGTCCAATTTTTATGAAATTTTTTTCTCGGTTCAAGTGTAGTTAAAAAGTCAATGTTAAAAAGGTAAAAAGCTTTCTCGTGAAATAAATACAGTAGAATCCTCAGGGGCGGACGCAGAAAAAATTTTGGGGGGTCCGGTCGAAAAATTTTTTCGTTTGGGGGGGTCCGGTCAAAAAAATTTTTAGTTTATATGGTTGAAAGGCCGTGTGCTGTAAGGGAATTTGAAAAAGTCTGTGATTTTGGGGGGGTCCGGACCCCCAAACACCCCCTGCGTCCGCCCCTGAGAATCCTGTTATAATGACTCCGTTTATAGTGTCCGTCCGGGTATAGCGACGAAAACTCGATGGCTTGATTGGTCCCCAGACAGACTTATAAACTTATATCCTTTTGCTTAGTGCGTCTTCCGGGTATAACGACGAAAACTCGTCGGTCCCTTGAAAGTCGCTATAAGCGGATTCTACGGTACATTGCAACAGTGCCAAATTTAAGCATCAAAACACGCTGTTTTTAGTATTATGAGAAACCCATGCTTTTGAATTAAATTTATTAAGTTTTTCGTTTTAATTAAAAAACTAATTTGATTTATTTTAAAAACCTATTACGACGGAAACCATAAATAAACAAAACAAAAACACCGGTAGCACTCCGGGAGTGCCGGCAGAAGTGAAAACTTCAATATTAACGTTGTGTTTAATTATAAGTATAAAAGTAGGTACTATCATTTATGAGATAGGTAGAATACAATGTTTATTTATTGCGCTATCGTACACAAATATGGCAATTTATATATTGTTATTTATAATATTATATCGTTATTTATATATTACATTAAATTTTATCTCTCAGAAAAATCAACTTCCATCCATAATTTCGACGACTTTTACACCATCGTTATTATCAGAATCATCATCGCAAATTTTTACAACTGATACAATTGGTTTATGATAACTGAAGTAAGAAACAAACAGTTTTGATTCGAACCTATTTTAGTGTAAGTACAAGGTAGTCTCGTCGGCTTTTTTTTCCCCCTATTGGGCACTACAATGAGTGCGAGTGAGGGGTGTTTTCCCGTAAGTGCGAAAGAAACAGAAGAAGATGATGTCGTTTTACCCTTATGCTGTGCACGGGGTTTAAAAAGGACTGTTATATGACCATGAGTATTAATTTTTCCGAAATTTTTTGGTTTTTACACAAAGCTGCCCTTCAGGACTCGATCCCATATTGTTCACATTTCAAAATATTTTTCTGCAATATTACATGTTACGCCTTGTATGTGCTTGCTGCAATAATTGCAACAAGTATTTTTCACAAGCACACAAGGGTTAACGTTTTGAGAAAAAATCGTCCGCGGACAACCTCTCACTTCGAAATCCCGAGCGCACTGAACCATAGGGGAAAAAACAGAGCGATTTTGCAGCCGACGAGACTACCTTGTATAATTCTACCATGACTCAGGCACGCTAGAAAGAGTGGGAGATACTAGTTCCTCTCCCTTCCCCTCGATCTTACGCTTTTTCGATCAGCATAACGGGACCCTGACGCGAGTTTGAATGTTTTTACCCTGCTCAGCGCCGCTAAAGAAGTTTTCACTTCAAAACATTTTTTTTTTCCTTTTGCCTAGTGCGTCTTCCGGGTATAACGATGAAAAATCGTTGGTCCCTTGAAAATCGCTATAACTGGATTCTACTGTATATAAATTTCTATATATATTTTTCGATCTTTCCTATGGCAGCTATACTATAGAGTTATCCGATTTTGATAAAATTCGAAATCTGAAATTCGATAGTAGTTAAAGAACTCCATCTGGAAGAAATCAAGTCGATCCGATCAAAAACAACGGCGTGAACATTTTTTATTTCATTCTCTCGTATGGGAGCTATCCTATATAGTCACCCGATCCGACTTATACACTGCGTGCAATAACTACACAACTTTTGGGAAAGTTTCAGTAAGATAGCTTTAAAACTGAGAGACTAGTTTACATAGAAACGGACAGTCGGACAGACGTACAGACATATTTCGATTCATATCGTGATGCTGATCAAGAACATATATACTTTATGGGGTCTGAGGTCTCTTCTTCTCTGCGTTGCGAACTTCTGACTGAAATTATAATACCCGTTGCTCTGCAAGGGTATAAAAACAAGCATGTTAAAATTTAGTATATAATCGCAGCTTTATAATATTGGAAACCGATTTGAATGTAATTTTTTCAAGAATCGTCAAAAATCACCATCTATAAAAAATTATAAAAAACAACTCCATTGTATTTTTCTCCCGTTATATTTTCGATTTTCTATGGAAGCAATTCGGTATAGTCCGATCCAGGGCGTTTCGCCTTATATAATGGATGCAATAACTACTCCACTTTTACAAAAGTTTCCTCGCGGTGATTTAAAAATTAAAAGATTAGTTTACATAGAAATAGATTGAAGTACAGATGAACACGTCTAGATCGATTCAGAAGGTGACGCTAATTAAGCATTTAAAAACTTTGTGGGGTCTGAGGTGTCGGCTTTACTACGTTGCAAACTTCTGACTGAAAATGTAATATAACTCTGCAAGGGTATAATAAAAGTTGGCTTAGTCAGATTTAAGCATTTGAAGGTCAGCCATTGTAAGAAAGAAATTAGAGAAGATGGAACGTGTTAACCGTTTAAAGTTTTTTTTTTACTCCGCAACCTAAATTTTAGCACTTCAATATGCAAAATTGGCCTCTGGGCAAGTTTGATATCGAGGTCGACAATGCAAACTACACATGCGTATCTTCAGGAAATACAGTTGGCCCTAGCATCAGAAGTCGCACATATTTTGGCATAGAATGTGAGTAAAGAGTAACTAGCTTTGCTACATACATATATAAATTTATCCTGCGAAATAGACGCACCTGAAAATACGACGGTTTCGGAGAATACAGTTTATGTACAAGAAGATACTATACCAGGACGTGTAATATGCAAGTCCCGTGCTAATCCAGGTACGTTTTTTTAAGACCTAAAAACGTTGTTACCTTACAATTTGCCTTCTATACAGAGCCTTCATACAAGTGGATTTTTAAAAATGAAACAACAGCCAACGGAAATGCATTAATTATCAACACGGCCATGAAACGAAGCGATGATGGAACTTATACTTGCCTCGCATATAACAAGCATGGTAGCAGCAAAGCTCAAACTATAATCATAGTGCAATGTAATTATCTCGGTGTAACAAATAAATACCTTCTTTATTTATTTTTATATATTTATTAAAGTTAAGCCACGGTGCGAAATCGAGAGACGGCAAATTGACGATCAGGACACACTTATTTGTACTGCTTACGGAAATCCTATAGAGGTAAGCTTTGAACGATGCAATCATTTTCTGTCATAACATGTATTTAAAAGAATAGTTTATTAAACTCTTAAAGTAGAAAGGAAAAAAAAAAGAAGAAAAAAACACATTTTTATAATTTTCCTTAAGTATGTAAAAATGCAAAAAATATAAAAAAAGGCAAAAGAGAGAAATTGCAGGGAGCTTCATGGGACACAAATAAATTAAACTAAGTGACTAGCTTTTCGTCTTTTGAAAATTTAATGTTTAATTTAAGTTAATTTATAATATATAATTTTCTTAAGAAAAAAGTTTAATTTTTATATTTTATTAAATTAAGGTAACATTTTTATACCCGTTTTTCGTCTCTATTGGCCATCTGCACAAACCAGAAACGCAACAATACTTATCTCGTTTTCTCAACGCAACACTGAACCACACTGACGACTGCAAAAAAATAATGCTTTTCTGATTAAAAAACAACGATTTATCATTTTTTCCGTTACTTTCCGTTAATTTTATATAGATTTCTATGGCAGCTATATGGTAGAGTTGTCGATTTTTATTAAATTTTATTATCGATTTAAGGTAGATAGATACATAGATAGATATATGGATTTAAAACTGGGAGACTAGATTGGGTAGAAACAGACAGACGGACAGACGTACAGACGTATTTCGATACAGATCGTGATGCTGATCAAGAATATATTCATTTTATGAGGTCCGAGGTGACTCCTTCACTGCGTTGCAGTGACTTCTGTCCAAAATTATAATACCCTTTGTTCTGCAAGGGTATAGAAATTTCTGTTATCATAATTAATCTACATATATAACATTTTTTTCAGGCTGACTTTTCTTGGTCCATTAAAGCTGAAAATGAAACAGTTGAAATATTAGGCAGCGGTGACAAAAAAAGTTTTTCAGAAAAGAGTTTTTACGTATTGCAAACTGACTATGCAATTTCCAGGACTTACAGATGTGTGGCGAATAATACAGTTGGGTCTGGATCGTTTTGTGAAATCGAAGTAGCTGGTATGTATAAAAGAAACAGAAAAAAACTTTACATACTCGTAAGCATGTACATATATATATGAATAAGCAGTAAAAAAAAGGATCAGTTGTTCTTGTTAAGAAAATATTTTAGATTAAACAAGAAACGGCCGAAACATTACGATTTGTTACACTGGGTGAGGGCGGGGGTCAAAATCAGTCAATACATGCGTTACGTAATACTTGAAGTATGTCGAGCAAAATGCATAAAGGCTAAACAACATAGAAGTAATGATGATTTTTCCATTAATTTTTTTATATTTTCACCGATTGTTTATATGACTGCTTTATGAATTAGTCCTCCGATTTCCATGAAATTTGCTTCAAAAGTTTTTAGAAATCGGTATTCAAAAAATCGTCAATTTTTGATAAAAACATAGATAGTATAATTTTGCTTCATATATTTTATATGGATTTCTCGATATTTTCTGTGGCAGCTATATGATATAGTTGTCCGATTTTTATAAAATTTCATTGTGTTTCAAGGCTAGTTAAAAAATTTGACACTTAAAAAATCATGATCGTGCTTAAATATAATTTTCGATCTTTCCTACGCTATAAAATATAACCATCCGATTTTAATAAAATTTAATTGAAAAATTTAATACGTAGCTAAAAACACCATATCGAAAAATTTCTGCAAGATAGCTTGTAAACTGAGAGACTTGTTTTCATAGAAACAGACAGACGAACCCTTCCAGTTTAAATCACAACTTGAAGCTGATCGAGAGCATAACTTTATTGTCTGAGGTATCTCCTTCAGTGGGTTGCAAACTTCTGACTAAATTTATAAGTCCTTCTGCTATACAACTCTTAAAAGAAATCAAAGCAAAACAAGAAAGGAAGCTAGCTTCGGCAAGCCGAAGCTTATATACCCTTGCAGTCATCAAATATGTCGAACAAAACTCATAAAGGCTAGACACCATCGAAGCTAAGACGATTTTTCTATTCATTTTCCATATTTTTGACTATAGATCATATGGGAGCTATACGATATAGTTGTCCGATTTTGATCAAATTTAATTCGTAATTCAAGAGTCGTAAGAAAACTCTATATTCCAAAAATCATACTTGTCTGATGAAAAACAACGATGTTATAATTTTATTTCCATTATTTCTATAAAGATTTTTCGATCTTTCCTATGGCAGTTATAAGATATAGATGACCGATTTTTATGAAACTTTTTTCTCAATATAAACGTTGTTAAAAAACTTTATATTCAAAAAATCATGCTCGTGGGATAAAAAACAACGATGTTATCAATTTATTTCCATTAATTCTATATATAATTTTCGATCTCTCCTATGGCAGCTATATGAGAGAGTTATCCGATTTTGATCAAATTTAATCCGAAATTCAATAACAGTTAGAAAACGCCATCTTGAAGAATTCAAGTCGATCTGATCAAAAACAACGGAGTAAGAATTTTTTATTTCATTCTCTCGTATGGGAGCTATCCGATATAGTCGGCCGATCCGGCCCGTTCCGACTTATATACTGCGTGCAATAACTACACACATTTTGGGAAAGTTTCAGCGAGATAGCTTTAAAACTGAGAGACTAGTTTAGGCAGAAACGGACAGACGGACAGACGGACAGACGGACAGACGTACAGACGTATTCCGATTCTACTCGTGATGCTGATCAAGAATATATATACTTTATGGGGTCTGAGGTGTCTCCTTCACTGCGTTGCAAACTTCTGGCCAAAATTATAATACCCTTTGCTCTGCAAGGGTATAACAAAGAAAGCTAAAGCTAGTTTCGTCATACCGATACTTAAACACAGTTGCAATTAAAACTCAAATGTTTACATTAATTTTATATAGGTTTTCGATCTTTTCCATGATTTTCCATTCAATTGTATTCTTTATTAAATCGTTGGTAAATAAGTCTATATTATAAAATTCATGCTTGTGTAATACAAAACTACGGGCAATCTTTTAAGTTGATTTTAAATCTCTAAATATTCAATTAACTTGGGGGTATTAATGGGCAGGAGTTATAGATATTTTGATTTTGCGGTAGAGCAAAATTTTTGACATTTTTTTAAAATTTGTTTTATTAACAAGGATGTAGCGATTAAAAAAATACGAATTACCGTTGGAACATTTTTCACATTTTAAAGATGGGAAAATCAACTGCAAATGTATACTAAAAACATTAAATGCTTTATTTTCCAAAAAAAGCTTTTGACCTAATAACTTGCCTAGACAATCTAAATGAATTCATAACTATTTTAAAAGATCTTTGAAAATAAAATGTGCATTGGCCAAGTTGATTTAAATTAATCAATTTTACTATCAACTTGTGTTAGAAAACAAAGCTAAAAAAATCTTAATTTAAGCCACATATTTGTATTTTTATTTTGACAGCTGCTTCATCGCTTTTAATTTGGTGGCAAGGTAAATGCCAATTAAAATACTTAATCCTAGCTTCCTATTTTATGGTGATTCAATGCATAAAATGCCTAACAGTAACATTATTTTTTTAACTAACTCACTAATTCATTCTGTTCTTGCCTGTTTTTCCCTTAACATCGATTTTACATTTCCATGCTAATATAACTAAAAAGTTCGACCGAAAAGTAAGTAAATAATAAAAAAACATGTAACATTATTATATTATAATATGATCATAATTTAAAACTTACAAAGTGTGGACAAGACTAACGTTTTAATAGGGATTTTAAAATAAGTCTATCGTGAAATGCTTATTCGACAATTTATAGCCACAGCTTGAGATAAAAAAGAGTGAAAAAATCAGTAAAAGTGATTTTAATTTCCGCGAGTCGAAGCTTATATACCCTTGCAGTCATCACAAATACAAATACATATACAGGAACAAGAGTGTTTTTCTATTGTTAGTTCGATCCTTGCAACTTCAGCGATAAAGAGTACTTAGAGATCATCTCTAGTCTTGCGAATTTTTCACTTATTTTCTCATTTCTATGGCAGCTATACGACATTGTAATTCGATCTTTATGTAAATACTTATTTACTGTCTATTGCTAAAACGGCTTGCTTAAAATCAAGCTTTATTTATATAACTACTCTTGAACTTTGAGTTATAAGGCATTTACTACTCTTGAACTTTGAGTTATAAGGCATTTATATATGTAACTCAAAGTTCAAGAGTAGTTATAGAAAACCTTACATCCAACAATTTTTTTAAAAAGAGCTAGTTATAATTTTGGCACATTAAAAAAATATAATTACATACATATTCTGATGATTTATGGTACGGCATAGTAAAATACTCCGATTTTATTGTAGTTTTTGTCTTGATTCGATAATATGTAGTTAAAAGCTCGATATATTAAAAATCGTGCTTATGTGATAAAAAACTAAAGACGTTTTAAATTTTGTGTCATTAATTTAATACAGATTTTATGATCTTTCCATCGCATTAACTTAATATAGTAATCCGATTTTGATGAAAATACAAGCTCAAGGGTCCTATGAAAACACCACCTGGAAAAATCAAGCCAGAAATACATTTTTAATATTATTAAATGGGGGTCATTGACTACATCGACCCAACTGAGCTTAGAGCTCACCTATCAACCCTGTTCCTCTGATAAAGTCAAGGAGCTTTGCTGGGTCAATGCTTCCGAAGGTCCCAAGTATAAGGGACCGGAAACCAAGGGTCCTACTTCTGCTTAAGGCTGGGCAAACAGAAATTATTTGCAGGGAGGTTTCATACTCGCTACATGTCTGGTTTGTGATTGTGGACAGAATCTGTATTTGTATGTCTTGCTTCTCACAATCCCTATTTTACATAGGTGACTCCTTAGTCTGCAATGTCCGGTTAGTATGTTCTTCTCTGTTGGTACAAGTTTCTTTAACCTCGTCATGTCATAATTGACGATGAGGATTTTAGCTTGTCTTTGGCCTGTTGGGTGTTATTCCAGCATTCTTGCCTCATATGTACCTCTTCCTTTCTCAGATAATATTTAATTGTGTATGCCTATTCTACAATAAGGCTAGGGGCCGTTCTGCCCCTAGTTTAGCTTGCCTGTCGGTTAGTTCGTTCCCAGATACCAGTGCCTTGGCGCGTTAGGAACCCGTCCGTATACTCAAATGAGCAGAGCAATACTTTTCGAAGATGAATTCTACTGTCATTTCGTCCCTGGGATGTGAACTCAGGGGAAACTCGAATAGCAGTTTCGCTGCATCACTAGAGTTGAGGATGCGGCCACTGTCAATACCCTCAGAAGTGATTCTTCGCAGTGGAGCGGAGTAAGCACCATGAGAACTTCCAGTGCCATAGTGGGACCGGTCCTCATTGCTCCTGTCATACATACGCACGCCAATCTTTGCAGCTTTTGTAGCCTTTTCTTTGTTTTTTTACTCCAAGCTACTGAACCATATGTGAGTATTGGCCTCACAATCATAAGGTATAGAAATCTGATGAGTTGGGGTGAAGTCCCCCGTGATAAGTGAAGAGCGCCCTTAGGCACTTGTCGACTGTCTTTTGCATGTGGGTCAGCTTACTGTCGTAAACGATTACGACTTCTTTGTAAAAAGAACATGACTGTTTTTGAGGGGCTGAGGTTAAGCCCAACTTCCCTGCACCAATCAAGCGTTATCTGGAGTCCGAGTTGGACAATGTCACGAAGCGTTTCTTCACATTTCTCTCTGGCTACGATTACTATGTCATCGGCATAGCCCTGACATTGAATTCCTCTATCAGCGAGTTTTCTTAGTAGTCTTAGTTTGTTGTCGCATCATTATTCCTTTTACTGAGGGCCGCTAAGACCGCATCGTGGGAAGCATTATCAAAGGCTCCCTCTATATCTAGAAAGGCGCAGATTGCTACTTCTTTATTGTTTATTGCGCCCTTTAAGAGTATGGCAAAGTTGGTACAGTGCTGTGTCTGTATAACGACCTGCTCTGTATGAGTGCTGCGCGGATTACAGCGGACAGTCCTTGAGATCTGTGTTCGTAATATGGTAGTCTACCAGCTTTTCCAATGTTTTGAGACAAAACGAAGTTAAGCTGGTAGGTCTGAAGGACTTGGGGTTAGTGATGTCTTTCTTCCCTACTGATGAAGACCACCTTAGCTCTATGTCATGTATTTGGGATGTGCCCAATTACTAGCTAAACTAAACTAACATTAGTTTCCTTCAGCGGGTTAGGAGTAAGATCAGTCCCTGCTGCAGGAATGATGGTGAGATACCATCCAGACCTGGTGACTTTATTGGTTGGAAGGTCCCAATTGCCCATTTAAGTATCTCCGGAGCGACTTGAGACTTGGCAATCGCCCAGTCCCTTGCACTTGGTCTGGGGCGTCTCGGAGTGGACACTACACTACAACGATAACATGTTTTTAAATTCAGTCATACCTTTATTAAAAATTACTGAACGTTTAAAAGAAAGCTTTTTTTAAGTAAAAAAAATTATTTGGTATTTTAATCTAATATTTTAATACAAAACAACATTGTTTATAAATATTTGTATAACCTTTTTCCCCATACTCGCGTTGGTATACATTTTAGCATGTCGAGGCTTAACTATAAGACTAAATAGAATTATGATGGCGGCAACAGTTTTAAGTCTAAGTGCCAAGCCCATTATAGAATAGATATAAAGTAGAGCTGAGCAAAATCAAGTTTTAGAGCATCGATTCTTTTCGATCTTTTAAGAAAAAAAAACTATAAAATCTAAATTTTATGTGGAGCGAAATGCATAAAGACTAGTCAACATCGTGTATTGAAGTTGTTTGCAGTCATGGCAAATGCCAAGCAAAAAATAAAGGTTAAGTAACTTTGATGTAATGCCTTTAGTTTTTTTATGTCCCCCATCTTTGTTCTCTTGCCAAGCCTTCCAGTGTACAGACTTCCGCTTCTGAGAAAGGCTGTGAGGGAGTACTGTTGAAATGTAAACTAATATACACTGTACTAGTCAACATCGTGTATTGAAGTTGTTTGCAGTCATGTCAAATGCCAAGCAAAACCGATGTAATCGATGTTAAATCATTGTTTTTTCCAGCTTTAACTGAAAGGTTGTATGGAATACAAAGGACATATGCATATTGTACATGTGTATTGTGTGCAAATAAAAAAATGAATTAAGCTAGCTTCGACTTACCGAATTACTATTGCAGACATAAAATATGTCGAAAAAAAATACAAAAATTCTGAACAACATCGAATCTTTGACGATTTTTCTATGAAGTTTCTATATTTTCGAAGATGGTACATATGACACCTATATAATATATTTGTTCGATTTGTGTAAAATTGTATTCGAAATTCGACAGTCATAAAAGAACTCTATTTTCCAAAGATTATTCTTGTCTGATAAAAAGTCCACGATGTTATCATTTTTTTCCTGTTTATTTCCGTTAATTCTATATAGATTTTTCGATATTTTTTTTATGGCAGCTATAGGGTCGTCCGTTTTTTACAAAAAAAATAATAATTTTTTTTTTCATCGTTATGCTGATCAAGAATATACATACATACATATATACATTATGGGGTCTGATTTGTCTCCTTTACTGCGTTTCAAACTTTTGACTGAAAATAAATAGGTATAAACATACTTGTTGCAACACATAAATTATATGAAATTTGTATTAAATTTTGTACCAAAACATACAAAAGAAATTACATTTCAGATTGACGTTCGTAAAAAAATTGTTATATTTTTATTAAAAATATTAACATTGAATTTAAAATCTTAACTCCTAACTTTTTTTTACATTGTTAAGCCACAGTTTTTAATGCATTTATTTCTGCATATAATAACAAATTATTTTTTTCTTTTGAAAAAATTAGAGCAACTCGCGTGGTGGCAACTCTGGGAAAAGACCACTCTTATTATACTAGTGGCTGCTATATTGGGATTGCTGCTGACAGTCATCATCATTTGCTGCATTATTATATGTATTTGCCGACGTCGCCGGCGTCAGGATAAATGTAAGTATTTAAGGTTCATGTGGTTTATAATAACCAAAGAAGAAATAATACTTTAGTCTTGTAAAGCGAACAACAAATAACCTTAATACATAAGTAGATCCTAAATCATTTATTTTGAATCCAATTATAGTTTTGTATTTGGGTTTTCAGAGAATATATTTTCTTTAGATAAGAGTATGGACGGTGTGTTTCAATTTTTTTGGCATGCGATTGAAAGAGCTAGTTCTTTACAAAACTAAAGGGGCGCTTATATCTTTGCATTTTTTTTGTGCTTTCTTTACTAAACTATAAACTATTTATTATAAAAATACGTCATTTTATAATACAAGTTTTAGAAATAAATCAAATAGAAAACTGTTTGCAACTTCTGGTTAAAAGGTTGCTAACGTTCCATACAGGGAGTGCCGCTTAAGTCTTTTTTTTTCTGAAAAAAGTTTTAAGTTTTAAGTAACAACTGCGTGAGAATTTTTTATTTCATTCTCTCGTATGGGAGCTATCCGATATAGTCGGCCGATCCGGCCCGTTCCGACTTATATACTGCGTGCAATAACTACACACCTTTTGGGAAAGTTTCAACAAGATAGCTTAAAAACTGATCAAGAATATATATAGGACATTCTTTTACAAATCGTACACCTTTTTTTGCGTCACAATTCCGATTTTTGTCAAAATTTTTTTCCAGGTGTAGGAAGCAAAATAAAAAGACACGTGTATCGGTATTTTGCTTAAAAAATTTTTTTTACAAAGTTATGATTTTTGACAATATCAATGGTTTTCTCTATCCTTGAACACGTTAAATCAATTATCTCTTGTTCTATTAATCGTATCGTTACAATTTTTTTTTTTATTATTTAGTTCAAGAATTAAGCTTTCAAAAAGTAATTTTATTTTTTAATTTAATTTTTTATTTATTTATTAGTAACAAATTAATCATTATATCGACGTTTCAATGCCGATCCCCACAACTTATTTAATTGAAAAAACAAGAAAGGAAGCTAGCTTCGGCAAGCCGAAGCTTATATACCCTTGCAGTCATCAAATATGTCGAACAAAACGCATAAAGGCTAGACAACATCGAAGCTAAGACGATTTTTCTATTCATTTTCCATATTTTTGACTAAAGATCATATGGGAGCTATACGATATAGTTGTCCGATTTTGATCAAATTTAACTCGTAATTCAAGAGTCGTAAGAACACTCTATATTCCAAAAATCATACTTGTCTGATGAAAAACAACGATGTTATCAATTTATTTCCATTAATTCTATATATAATTTTCGATCCCTCCTATGGCAGCTATATGATAGAGTTATCCGATTTTGATCAAATTTAATCCGAAATTCAATAACAGTTAGAAAACGCCATCTTGAAGAATTCAAGTCGATCTGATGAAAAACAATAGAGTGAGAATTTTTTATTTCATTCTCTTGTATTGGAGCTATCCGATATAGTCGGCCGATCCGGCCCGTTCCGACTTATATACTGCGTGCAACAACTACACAACTTTTGGGAAAGTTTCAGCACGATAGCTTTAAAACTGAGAGACTAGTTTGCGCGGAAACGGACAGACGGACAGACGGACAGACGTACAAACATATTTCGATTCTGCTCGTGATGCTGATCAAGAATATATATACTTTATGGGGTCTGAGGTGTCTCCTTCACTGCGTTGCAAACTTCTGACTGAAATTATAATAACCTTTTGCTCTGCAAGGGTATAAAAACAATTTATTATCCCTATGTTTCGCTTAATAAACAGTAAAAGGAATTAGAGTGGGGTCTTCATCAGATCAAGAGAAATTAAATAATTTTCGACTCTTCGCGCAGCGCGCGCTCCACATGCTGCCGCAGCGCGATCAATGTTATTTTATATCTTATTACCTAATAGAGACCCCACTCTAAATCCAAGTGTTTGTTCTTAGGAATGACGTATAGAATTAAATTGTAATTTTCCTAATTATATATGTTGTGGGGATCAGCTTTGAAACCATTAAATTGTTTATAATTTTTTTTTCTGAACAAATAAAAAAATTGCAAGTAAAAAACTTGAAAGGCAACATTAATACCTATTGAATAAAAAAAAATTTTTATTATGCGACTACTGGAAGCGGAGATAATATATTTAATATATAGAAAAAATAAATAAAAAACTATTTTTTTTGAGTAAAATCCTTTTATACGTGTGGAATAAAATCTTCCATAGAAGCTGAAAAAAAATTTTCATTCAATTCTGAGATATGAAAAAAAAATTTTTCTCGAATCCGTACGGTTTGTAAAAGAATGTCCCATATACATTATGGGGTCTGAGGTGTCTTCTTCACTGCGTTGCAAACTTCTGACTGAAATTATAATACCCTTTTGCTCTGCAAGGGTATAAATATATAGACTTTTTACAGAAAGGGGGTGCAGGTATAAATGATTACAAAATGGTATGTTGCTAAAAGAATACGAAATAAAATTTTTGGCGCGCAACGTAACGTAATTTAAATCAGACGAGTGGATCTAGGTCTGTATGAACATCGAGATCTCGGAATTATAAGAGCTAGAATATTGGAATTAAAAATTTATATTCTTGCTATTGCTTACGCAGCACAGTTTGTTAATTTGTTGTCCCACGGGCACTATTACGCGAGCAGACCGCAAAAATATGTTGCGTACTTTTAAAATACTCGCCAATCCCAATTTTACGATCATCAGCTTTGAAGACGTGTCCTTCTTCATATCCGGAACTCTATCCAATTCCCAATGCAGGCACCTAAGACAATTTTTGCACCTAAACCAATACCAGTTTCTATAAAGTTCTTTACTTTGTTTTTTATATCCCACTCGCGATCAGTATAGTTTTTAAACAGACCCTAATGCCTTTTGCTCACAGAGTTACACAAGTCAAGCCCGTGTCCAATTTGTTAAAAAGCATGTAAGAGGTATGCAGGCACTTGCGATACCAGAAATGTATATATACATTCTTAATCAGAATCATCAGCCGAGTCAGCAAGCATTTTTAAGATAAATTGGTTAAGAGTCTTAGAATGCTGTACCCAATTTGTTTTTAAAAGTTGCCAAGTCCTCAAGCGCCGAAATTTTGTAGCGATCCACCATTTTGAATTGATGATCTGTATTCTAGTTATGCAAAAATAAACGTTTAACTGATTCGGCTTTTTGACTGTTTTTCATTTCTTTTTAAGCTTTCTATAAATTCTACCGTTCTTTCTAAGGCAGATATATGGGATAGCCGTCCGATTGTAATAAAATTTTATTTCTAATTCAAGAGTTGTTAAAAAACTATATTTCTAAAATATGCCTTTTCTGCATCATGCATATAAATTTTCGAACCTGTACTCTCTATATAAAACTTTGCATATAAAGACAAACATGTCTAAATCAATTTGCTGATCAATTATAATAATAATATTTTTTTTTTTTTTTTTTTTGATGCCTAACGCAAATCCCGTTTGCCGTCGCAAAGCGAGGTATGTGGGGCTTTCGCATTACTTCGAGGTGGACCCAGTTAAGCGCTATGCGCTCTCATCTTCTTTCTGCGTCCAGATCACCCAGCTGTCTCATCCAGATCAGGCTTCTTCGCCCTGAGGATGTTCTCAACGAATCCTGCAATGAGTTTCCACGCTGCTTCGCTGTCTATCATCTTCATGATGATGTTTTCCGGGGTTATTGTCCCAACAACTTCTTCCAGCAAATGCGCGCCGGTCCGAACTTTTCACATTGGAAGATGGTTTGTTCGGCACTGTCGATCTTCGCATCTCCGTATATACATCTGGCGCCATTTCTTTTCCCTGTTGAGTATAGAAAGGCAGCCTAGTAATCCACGTCTCCCAGTTTCCTTGTAGACCATGTTACCAGGTTTGGCCTGGTCTTCAAGGAAAGCTAGCAGCAGCCTAGCTGTCCATCTCCTCGTTCTTCAGCTGCCCAGCTTTCCTGCCATTGTAAGAGGGTTTCTTCTCTGGTCCTTTCGATTACCGCTCTCGTCGTCTCTCCTGTCGGTCGCCTCTCATAGATCCCTTTTCACGCTTTAGCAAGTAAGTCGATTGGTATCGCGCCTGTGATTACTAGTGCAGCAAGGCCGTTCGATACGCGCTCGCGATTCGAAGTGCCATGGTTCTTTGCAACTCCAGTAGAGGTTTTGACCTACAGGCTGTCTCAAGCGTTCCTGCCCACACCTCACACCCATAAAACATGATTGCATGGTTTATCTTCATCAAGAGTTTCCGTCTTGATTGTAAGGGGCCGCCCACGTTTGCCATGAGTCTGCTTAGCGCCTTTGTAGTCTCGGTCGCTCGCTTTCTTATCTTGTATGTGTGCACTGAATGACAATTTTGAGTCCAATCTGACTCCTTGGTACTTTATAACCTTCTGCGTCCTTAGTTAAGTTTAGTTTAGCTAACAGAAGCTCGGGTTTTTTCGTCCGCCAGTTTCAGATCGTGTGAGTTTAGCCAGCTTTTTACACGTGTCATTATCTGCGTCAGCTTGCGCTGTGCGTATTCGGTATTTCGAGCCGTAATGACTGCGACTATGTCGTCTGCGTATTCCACGATAGTCGTATCCTTAGTCATGTATAGGTGGAAAATTTCGTCGTAGCTGATGTTCCATAGCTCCGGTCCAAGTATAGATCCTTGTGCAGCTCCTAAAATTATCTGCATACATTTCTCTCCTGCTTTTGTTTGATACAATAGTCGTCGGTTGTCAATATAGTTCTGTATTATTTGCATCAGGTAACCTGAGATTTGGAATCGTCTGTGCAAAGCTTCAATTATGTTGTCCCATTTAACGTTGTTGAATGCGTTTTTAACGCCCAGAGTTGCTAGTAGTACTACCGGTCTTGAGAAGTGGTTGCCTTGTTGGCTGCTGAGCGCTTGGTTTACTACTACATGGATTGCTCCAATGGTCGATCTGCCTGGTCTGAAACCATACTGCTCGGGGAGAGTCCCCCACTTCTTTCGATTGCTGCTGATAATCGTGGCTTGATCATTTTCTCTAGTAGCTTCCCGGTTGTGTCGAGCATGCATAGTGGCCGATAAGCTCATGGGGTCAGGGGATCTCCTTTGCCTTTGCTTATCAGAACCAACCGTTGCACCTTCTAGGTGTCTGGAAATGTCCCGCTGGTAATGCACGCGTTATACATATCCAGTAGTATTTGGGGTCTGTTCTCGACGATCACTCTGAGGACTTCTGATGGGATTTTGTCGGGTCTTCTTGCTTTTTAGAGTTTTCGCCGTTTTCAGTAGCTCGTCCACTGTTAAGGGCTCTATCTGTTCTTCGGCTATTGGTGGCGTAGGTCTTGCTATGCTATATGCTATACTCCAACCCCCATGGGTCATTATTGGCATCGTTGCAGGGGCATTTCCATTTCTCCGTTTTGCTTTTTCGGATAGAACCATTTAAGTCCTTCTTGGATTTCTTATATTGGCTCTCCTGCTCTGTGAAATCACCCCTCCGTCTGTTTTTAACACAGGCTTCTTTTATGTCTTCTGTCCACCAATACGCTTCTTGTCCTTGTCTTCGAGGGTTGCCCATTTTTGGCATTGCAGCGTTGCAGGCCTGTTTTATGGTTGCCATGTTGTCGTTTACTATATTACCGCCTCTCTGTCGGTTTTGTCCAGTGTCATTTTCCTGTATCAGCCTTGCCTTGTTCATTCGGTTAACGTTCCATTCTTTACTCGTTGGTGCTACTGTAGTCAGTTCGTTTTCTGCTGTGTCAAACATTATGTAACTATGGTCACTTCCGTTATATTTATTGATGACTTTCCAGTCGGCGATTTTGTGCGCACTGTTTTCTGTCACTAGCGTTATGTCGGGGATTGTGCCCTCGTTCCCTACTGGATTAAATGTCGGTATTGCTCTTGCATTTGCTGTTGTCATTCCTATTCTAGCAGCCATGTTTAGGACGCTACGGCCTCGAGGGTCATTTGATGCCATACCCCATTCCTGCGCTCTTGAGTTAAAGTCTCCTGCTTTTATAACGTTCCCTCTTATTTGCCTTGCGTTGTCTTCGATATCTTCGAGTTTCGTCTGGAAGGTCTGAATGTCGTCATTTGGAGTCAGATAGCAGCTAAATATCGTCCAGTTTCTGATGTGTGTTAGGACGTGGCATCTTCCTGTTTTGTCGCTCACATATGATACCGTGATAGGGTTCGGAATCCATATTGCCTTGTCTCTGTGTTGTCTTCTATCTAGACCCCGTCCTCCCGTTTCTTACATTGTTCGCTAATAATGACTACATCGATTTGGTTTTCCAGCATAATTTGGTGCAGCAAGTCATTTGCAGTTCTGCTTGGAGCATCTTCATATTTTTCCTTTTCTGGCCACGCTAAGGCAGTACGCTGTCCCAGGGAGGTGTCCAACGTCGCTCCTGTTCCCTGATGCGCAAATACAGCATCTCAGAGCTTTAGCGCAGGTCTTCATTTTATGACCACTTTCGCCACATCTGATGCAGAGGTCTCTTCTGTCCGGTCCTTTGCAGTCCTTTTGCACGTATCCAGTCCCGAAACACCTGAAGCATCTCTTTGCATTGAGACAACGCTTCGCACGGCTCCGGGTCCACCCTATTTTACTCCTTAGTTCCGTCAAAATCTTCGACTCGTCTTTCATTGGTAGTGTGACGAAAGTTCGCCTCTGTTATGTTATTTGAAATAAAAACAAAAATTTACAAAAATCTTCCAGAGCTGCCAGAGAAAAGATCGAAAAGTCTCATTAAAATGAATCACTTTTTGGGTAGAGTTTTCTAAAAACTCTTTAATTTTGAATAAAATTTCATGAAAATCGGACGACTATATCTTATAGCTGTCATAGGAATAATAACATAATTTTTTATTATAATATGACTATAAAATGTATGACTACTGAGAGATTGATTGCTATTTTTATAATCAGTTTAACCATATAATATATATAATAAAGTGACTTGAAACTTAAAAATTATGGTAGTAGTTTTTGGAAAAAATACCGTCATTATTTTATTTTCATTAAGTCTATATAGAATTTTCCAACTTACCTTGGCGGCTTTATTAGTCTTCCAATTCAACAAAACTTAATTCAAAATGCAATAGTAATGAAAAACACCATATCGAAAGAATCAAGTCGATGTGATCAAAAACAACGGCGTTTTCATTTTTTTACCGTAATTTTTTCGATCTCTCTTATGGGAATAAGTCGACCGATCTGGCTTTTTGCTACTGCGTGCAACAAATTTTGGTAAAGTCTCAGCAAGATAGCTTTAAAATTGAGAGACTAGTATACATAGAAACAGACAGAAGGACCGACGTACAGACGTATTTCGATTCAGATCGTGATGCTGATCAAGATATACACTTTATGGGATGTGAGGTGTCTCCTTAACTGCTTAGCAAACGACTGACTGAAATGATAACCTCTGCAGGATTGTTATTGCCTCTATGCCACTTTTACTGAACAGGTGAACTTTAGGGAACGATTTTAAGTTGATTTAATCCCTAAAAGCTACGAGCAGAAGAAATTCGTAAATTAGAGTGTGGTTGGCTGCTTTATTGTATATTAACCCATTTGGCTTAGCTGGAGGCAGACACACTTAGGCAGTACATTTTGTGTCGATACGAAGATACACTCGAGCGTACTTGTTATTTGATCGAAAGAGTAGATAATAATACTGTAATAGTAACTATTTCCTTGAAAAAACGTTCATCAACCATGTTAGGTCTACTCAAGAATTTAAAACTTTTCCGTTACCTTCGAATTTTTTAAAACCTTATATGTTGTATTAAATTAAAATTTTTTTAAAGTTTCTACCAGTTTATATAACTTTTTTGCTTGTACTCTCAATGTATCTATTGCATATGTACGCTTTGCTTCACAATTACCTGGTTCTTCATCATTGCACGCTGCATTTACTGCTTATAACACGCATGAAACGGTAACTACTCTGTGCTTCAACTCCACGAACATCCCTTATATACACAATTACACCAATACGTACAGACCTCACGGAAGTTTCCCTAAGTGCGCACCAAAGGTAAGTCCAAAATTACAATAATAATATAATATTGAACAAGTAATTAATCCTGCAACAATAGTCTATATATGTTCATTGTACTGTATTTGTTTAGAGGAGTTACTGATTTCTTTCCCACTTCGGCCCACTTGACTTATACCAAAAACCGGAGCCTTAATTTGTTTCTGAAATCATTCCTTTTATATATTATGTTTTTGTAGTATGTTAAAGTTTCAAGATCAGGCCTTTTACTTTCTTCTAGTAGCGCTGCGGGCTCGTTGGAGCACCATTTCCAGTTCGTAAAATAACCTTTTGCTAGAAGCTGCTTCACTGGCAGGCGGATTGGAACAGCTTTCTCGACGGAGTTCATTCCAAAAACTGCTGAGACCAGTTCGTTTTATTTCCTTTCAAGCGACTGGGCAACGCTATCAGTAAACATGTTGGTGGTGATCGTTGATTCTCCTATACCACATACTAAGCTTTAAAGCTTAAGTTACCTAAACGAGCGGTGGTTAAATTGTAAAGGTCGTGGTATGTATGGGGGGTGTTTGTTGTGCTTTAATGCAGTTCAAGCTAGGAGGCATTAGCCATGCTCAGCATGGATGTCGAACCACTGTCCATTTCTATGCCATTTCTACCATTCACAAGGCTCGTTGCAGTTAGCGAGCTGAAGAGGGCTTTTTCTAACTTTCCTACGTACTATGGTCAATATTGGTCAAGATGCGTGGTTATGTGCATTAACAATAAGTCAGTCGATTCCAGGGTAGTTGCTACGGTGGCAAGTGCTTGCAGATGTGAACTCTCCACTTCACTTAGATCTTTGCCTTTTCGTCTTTGTACATGGCTATAAAATCCAGGAACAACTGTAATTCTGGCCGTCAAGACTACGTGAATTGAGTTGACAGAAAACAGTTGGATTGTCTTCACAAGGGGGAATGAACTTTCAAAGCGTTAACAGACTTCTTTGTTCTGTTTGTTTAAAAAAGGTAAAACAAAAATGACCACCACCCGACTTACAGCCCAAGGGCCGCAGCCGTGTATCTTTCGGCACGATTGGCGGAAATTTTGAACGCAATACTAAGGAGAACAGAAAAAAATTAAAAAGCGATGCAAAAAATAAAAAGGATTGCGGAAAAAAATTTGAATTATTAATTTTACGGCCTAATTTTGTGCTACAAATGTTAGTTTTAATTACAGCTGGAGAGAGTCACTATTAGATACTTTAGAAAACACTATTACAGTCAGAACAAAGTACTCTGAAAGGTTCACGCAAGGTAAAATTAGATCTACAATGATTTAATACCAAAAGAACAAAATTTCTCGTTAATCTACTTGGAACCAAGAAATAAGGTCCACCCAATAAGACAGGACAAGACAAGGTTAAAAATAAATACAGTGCCAAGCATCGTTCTACGATTAGTAAGGGAGGGCAAATTAATAAGGAGCAATCTATTGGAATAGGATGGTAGGTAGGTCAAAAAGTAAAAAGTTTTTTTAAACTGATTCTATACGATCAGTGTGGGCTCCGATTTGAGGACTCCAAACAGGTAAACCCATACTCAAGGATTGGCCGGAGCAGAGATATGAATAAAGTCATGGTAACGTAAGGACCATCAAATTCCGTCGACTATCGTTTAATAAACCCAAGCACTCCCCCATCTTTATTAACCATGTTCGAAATGTGAAATACTTTCCAAAGTATTTTTACTTAGCGAAAGGACTCTTTGTGTCCGGGCACTGCGAAAACTAAAGAACCAACTTAAATGATCAGCTGGAAACCCTATCATGTCAAGTTTGCGTATCAATAGTGTTGTGTTCGGATTGAAATGAAGACACTATCGGGATGAATGTTGAACTGTTGAGCTTTATTTAGTAACTTCCTTTTAATCGAGGTGTGTTCAAAAAGTATCGTGAATTTTGAATTTTCGCGGGTTACCTCGCATCGAATTTCGATTTTTTTATGGCCTTATGTTGGTACTCATGTCTCTCACTTATGCCTACAAGCTCGGACATTTTGAATGTTCACTTAATTGTTGACAGCTGCTTTGCTTGCACGTGTTTTGGATCGTCTTCGATTTTTACCTATTCAAAAAAAAGAATCAAAGAATCAAATTTTGTGTGAAAAACGAAATTAAGTGCGTGGACGCATTCCGAATGTTGACTGTAGCATACGGAGCAGGTACCTTGGTCCGAAGCAACGTTTATCGGTGGTACAAAATGTTCTTAGAAGGCCGAGAAGATGTGAACGACGAAGAGCGTGCCGGACGCCCGAGCACTTCAACAACATACGAAAAAATTAATGAAGTAGAGAAAATGGTATTGGCCAATCGTGGAATCACCGTTAGAGAAGTTGCTGAGGACCTAAACATATCGATTGGCTCGTGCCATTCGATTTTTATCAATGATTTGGGCATGAGACCAATTGATCAATTGCAATCAAAAACAGCATCGCATGAACATTACTAGTGAGATGTTAAACGCGACGACCCAAATTTGCTCCAGAGGGTCATAACTGGTGACGAATCGTGGGTTTATGGTTACGACGTGGAAACCAAAGCTCAATCATCTAAATGGAAGCTGCCGCACGAACCAAGACCGAAAATAGCGCGCCAAGTTCGGTCGAATGTGAAAGTTTTGCTGACAGTTTTCTTCGATTGCAAGGGCGTGGTGCATCATGAGTTCTTGCCACAGGGAAGAACGGTCAATAAGGAATATTACCTGCAAGTTATGCGCAATTTACGCGAAGCAATCCGCCAGAAACGCCCGGATTTGTGGATGAAGAAAAATTGGCTTTTGCACCACGATAACTCCCCTGCTCACACATCGTTGCTTGTGCGCGACTTTTTGGCCAAAAACAACACACTAATGATGCCGCAGCCACCGTATTCCCCAGACTGCCCCCTGTGACTTTTTCTTGTTTCCTAAACTGAGGCCCATGAAAGGTCGACGTAACGCTACGCTTGACGAGATAAAGACGGCATCGAAGGAGAAGCTGAACAAGATAAAAAAAATGATTTTTTGAAGTGCTTCGAAGATGGGAAAAACCGTTGGTACAAGTGCATTATATCTCATCGGGATTACTTTGAAGGGGACAAAATAGATATTCATGAATAAGTAAATAATTTTTGAAAAAACACAAAATTCGCGATAATTTTTGAACACACCTCGTATAGTTGTGAGGTACTAATAATATTATTTAAATGCTAAGGTACGGCTAAAAACCTTATCATCTGATCCTCTGTTACATTTTCTGTCTTGTGTTATTTCTGAACTAGGGTGGGCGCCTATTCGGGTTAGGCTTCTTGACGTTATGAAAATAATTTTGTTTCTTTACAACATAAATGCATAATCATTTTAAGTCAGTATAATCAGAACAGTCAAATCATGCCATGTCTGTATGTCTTCCCGTCTAAAAATTAGAGATCTCGGGGACTAAAAGAGCTTGAATACTAAAATTAAGAGTGTAGACTGAAGTTATTCGTATACATTACACTTTGTATGCTTAAAAACCGAAAAAATTGTTTTGATGGTTCAACAATTTAGAGTATTTATTTTTGTTTTACTGATATTTGGTCGGTATCGTTGGCACGTGCACACAAATTTTGGCTTATTTAAACTTTTTGCTAAACTTGAAGTGTGGATAAATTAAAATAAAATTGAAATGGGGCGTGGCACTTTACTATCTGAGTCGGAAACAGAGAAAACACAAGCTTAGAAGGATTCCGGCCTTTCTATTGCCAAAATAGCGGAAAAACTGAAGAGACTAAAAATCAAGAAAAAGCCACCTTTTAACCCGGCTCTAAAGTTGCTACGCCTTGATTCTTCTCGATAGGCCTTTTGGGCGCGAAAAAGATTATTTTGGGGGGTTCGGATGGTTACAGCTTCTATTTTCTTGATCTTTGAAAAGAACGACACCATCTTGGAGTTCTAAAATGGATTTTGCAACATAATAATGCCCCGAGTAGATTTATTAAAATGGCCACCCTATTTGCCGGACTAAAACATTAATAAGAATATGTGGTCAGCAATATTCAAATGTGCCCGAACGATTTGCAGCTATGAAATTAGCATGGGGCTCGATTTTTTAAAAATATTTTGGAGAATGTATGTATCCCTCCCGGCCAATAGTGTGAAATTTTTGAAGTTTTTGGAAGTAAATTTTTTTTTGTAAAACATGTAAAAATAAAATCAGATTTAAATAAACTCCTCTAGAAAACAAAAATATTTTTCTAAATGGCTTGGTTTAGCAGCAATTAACTATAAAAAAATCGACTTTAAAAATGTTTTTTCAAGTGGCAAGCAGTGTACGTAGCAAAAGAAATTTTAAAGAGGCAATAAATATTAAAATAGGTTAGCTGAATAATGAGTATCTGAAAGTCGGGCACTCGATTTAAGCATTATCTATTGCTTTTATTTCGGTTGAATGACAAAATTTGAATGCAAAAATTAATTTATAATTTGAATAAATCTGCGCATGATATTCTAGAACTTTGTTGTTATTTTGCATGTATGTACATATGTATTGTATATTGTTTTCTTTTTGTATTACTTAATGTTTTTTTATTTTCACATGTACACACTCATCGCCTTATTACTACCCGAAACTCTGCACCTTAATATGCGTCACAACACCACACACTGCTTTCAGGGTGCTACCTGATCAGCCAAAACTTACACAAGCAGGTGAGACCCAATCAAATCAGGAAAAGTGCGAGAACTTTTTAGCAAAACAAACTTCCAAGTATTTTAATGGGCATGCCCCGAAGTCCCCTCCCCGCTGGCCCATTCGGCCTGGAGTAATGCTTCACGTAAGCAGCAATACAAAGGAAAACCTAACTATAAATCGAAGGGCATTGAACTCGGATCTAAGCGGCAATGCTAGGAACATTAGCCAGCCGTCGAATCAAATGGAAAGCCATGTTAACTCCGATAGTACCATTGTGACGGAGCTATCCGTGACTTCTAAAAAAAAAGCAACGTCAGACTTATATAAAGTTGCAACACCCCAATTGAAAGTTTCGAAGTCACCAGCAATACAAGTCAAGGGTTCTGAAGCTCAAATAGGGCCCTCAAACAACTTGCCAGACCCAGTACCAAGTACTACTTCTGGCAGCCATAAAACGGATAATATTTTGGTGTGGCTTTTTAAAAGAGCTAAAAAACCTTCCCAGGACTGCACTCGAGAAAGTCAGCGAGGTCTTTTAAAAACCTTTTGGCGTGGGGTTAAAACTAACGAAAGTACATCGGAGTTTGGAACTGAGCATCGTCTAAAAGGCATACGTTGCAGCGGAAGTGGTAGAGTATTTTTTTTACAATATTGGTTTCACTTTTTATTTTTTTCCTCTTATTTATTTTTCCCCAAATATCCTGCATCAATTAACAAATATTTATCATATAGTGACCTATAAAAAAACCAAAGAGAGTATTCGTACGACGGCAAACGCAGAAGCAACTGAAAAATCCTCTCCAACAAACAAGCCCATCGATTGTCAAACAAAATTCTCTGTCGCGTTTCAAAAGCCTTTATTAGAAAAGGAGGCAGGCTCGAAAAATAATATTATTTCTGCTGAAGAGGAAGATACCATTCACTTAGAGGCTGACCCCTGTTTCGTGGGGAAACGCTCTTCGATACCTTGTCAAAATATGGAATATATATCTTCAACACAACCTCCACCGCCTACTTTATTATTACGGAGGGACAATAATAAAATAAGCGGATGCAGTCCAGGCAACTCATCTTCGGTTATATCAGGTACACAAAACATGTATAGTAAGACAAAAGGGACTAACTTTTGTCATTATACCGATCGGCCATCAGATATCCGATTGCCAAAATATTTGCAGAGTTATAAGGTTTTAGCTGTAAAAATGTGTGAAAAATTATTTACTTCTGTGGAATATATAAGAACGCAATACACCTAAAAATGAAACAACATGGGAAATATTGAAAAAAAAACAATTCTTGAGAAAGTGGGCTGGTTTTTTTATTTACCTATGAGGTCAGAATTATCATTATCAGGGCTAACAGAGTTATGTTCTTAAAAACGTAAAAATATGTATGGATTTATGGACGAAAAAATAGAGAAATATGGACGAAATATGGACGAAAAAGTTGACAAATATGGAATAAAATGGATAAATATAGGTAGTATAGACGAAAAAAGGTATAAATATGTATAGGTATAAAAATGGATAAACGTAGACGATTATATCGATCATATAAACTTTTTATGACAATGAACAATTAGAAATCGCTACAAACAAAAATGCGCCGTTTGTCTCAAACATTACATTACATTATTTATTATCGAGTATACGGCAATCGACAGAAATTTCATAATATTTGAGCCAAACATATATTTCTATAGGTTTTCAGACACTTTAATGCTCAAAATATGGATTTATTCAAGTGATTGTGTAAAATATGGATTTATAGGAAAAAAGGCGAAAATATGGAAATAAATATTTTTTCATTTAAAAACATAACTCTGTTAGCCCTGATCATTATGTATAAAACCAGATATTCTTTTCGTAACAAAAAAGCGTTTCTCGACGCCAGTATTTTATCTTCTATAAATACTTCCTTTAACAAAAATCGTTTGCCCACCCGTAAAAAGTGTTTTTTTCTTAAAAAACATTTGAATACTGCACAAAAATCTAACTGGTGGGCAAACAAGAATCAAACGACTCCTCTTTTTAAAATTTCGAAAACTAAAACTTTTTTTGACCCAGCTTCTTTAAGATAATTTTTCTATACCGAAAACTAGTTACAAAGTCCTGTTATATTTTTATTATTAAACAAGCTTTTAAAAAATTCTATGCGATCAGATATCTTTAATACTTCATATTTCTTCATATTCATATAAAGTTGAATATGTTAACCCTTAACACACTTCAAAAATCCAATTCAAAAGGGATTGTTCAGGAACTTTTTCAGGCACTCGAGAAACTGGCCCTTAAGTAGAGGCCGATCGTAAGTATTATTGTAAGCATATATAGTACAAGCAATTTAAGGAATCTTTTAACCGTTGTAGATTTTTAATTTTCGAACTCCATGTTATCGTTTGCATGTTCTTTTAAAAGGCTTAATAGTCCATAAAAAAGCAATGCATGTTTGAACAGTTTAATATAAACAGCTAATTAAAATTAAATAGAAATAAGACTTATGAACATATTTTATTGATTTTTTTCCTCAGAAAATGTACTTATAATTTTTTTTAATTTTTGTCTTCTTATTTACAAACAAAAATAAACAAATTCGTCGGAAATAAAATATCGCCTTGATCGTTTGAAAAAATAACCATACAATCCGTATCGTATGTGCCTTACTTAGTAAACGACAAGTCATCTTCACTGGGGGAACCATTGACGGAACCTGGCGAGTATGAGAATCTTCCGTTTCATGGTCTACAAACGGCACCTAACAAGGTATAGTTTATATTTATTTGAACTCCCTAACACTTGATACAAATTTCATCGCTCAAAACACTTACTTTTAAAAAAATAATAAAAATTTCACGATTTCTATTATCATGTTGTTATGCATTTATTTTATTCATGCACTGCAATATTTAAGTTTATTAGTAGGAAAAATAGGTTGTATTTTCCATTAATTATATTTTGTTCTGAACTTAGTTTATAAAAGCGTTTACTGACTCAAAGGTAATTGCATTTCGATTCATTCCATGCTCCCATATTTTCATTTTTTAAATAATAAAAAAATATGAGATAAAATGCTGCCGCCAATTAATTTTGAGTTTTATTCTTTAAATTTCTCTACATAAATTTATAAGTTATTCTAACAAAAAATATAATCATAAGCAAAAGTGAGTTGTTTTTGCGAAAGTTTTAAGTCAATGATAAAATTTATTGGACTTAATTATTTTTCTTTAACATATATTTTCTGTAATAATAAGTGATTATACTTAAGTAAGACATCAGTTGTATAAAATTAATAATAAGGTATTCAAGAAAAATGTACCGCTATGATTTCAATGACCCTTACGTTATTTAAATATGTTGTTGTTCGCTTAAAAAAAAAACACTTTAATATTGACAAAATTTGCAATTGACTAAACTTAAAAAAAAGCTGATGAACTATGCCCAACTAATAATGCTTTTCCCTTTACATTGTTGTTTTTGATTGCTCTTCCTAACGAACGCATGCTGCTTTACAATGGATTCAATGCTTAGTTCTCTACTACCCTTACAAATTTTAATAACAACACAAATGGGGTGCCCGTTGCCCCGCGACCCAAGAGACTTTATGGAAATGCAACTCAGAAATCGGCCAACCAGCAGATAGATCGTCAGACCTTTCAAGGTTCACAATCATACCAGCAGCAACATATTTGCGACCAGGAACTCCAGCAGCCTCACAAACCACAGTACAACGCCGCGTACCGGCCACAAACTACTGGTCAACATCATCAAAACTTAGCAAGTCCAGATTCCGGTCGCCAAATACACCATGACCTTAGTAGTTGCTTCCCCAAGAGTTACACAGAATATTACAAGCAACATCAGAGACAGCATGAAATCGAAATTGAATTGCCAGCAGGACCAACTCCGAAGTTAGACAGCAATGCATTGACCAGCGCTCAAATGTTAAATGCTGTAGAGGCTGATAGTTTGCCCACCTACGCCGTCATAGGTCGACCACCTCATATTTCACGATCGACTCTTTTAAACACTAATCCGTTTTTGACTGCAAATAACTTCAAGAAATACGGTACAACGGTTGAAGAGTCACTTCGAAGTATGCCACGTGTGAAACACAGCAATGGCGCACTGGATATGGAAAAAAGTTTTATTCGCTTAAATTTTCGGGCGGAGACAACCTACCAAATCAGTCACATTTTATTAACTCCTCGATAAGTTCTACCGCATCACCAACACTCTTTGCCAATGAGCTAAACTCCTTATCTAAATGCAAGAGACATAATTCCATTGCCGGACATTGTCACAGCGATATTAAACATAATGCACATCAAGTGCGCCTTAATGATCCACCTTCTTACAATTTAATGGTTGTGGAAGGCAAAGCCGATCAAAGTTCACAATTAAACACCGGGGACAGCAGTCTTAATTTTAATCAAAATCCGGCTATACAGGTGCATCTTCGCCCAGGAGAAGACATAAAAAAAAAACATCAACATCGTCATCACAACTTTTACCACCAGCCACATATGAATGAAAGAACTGCTTCTGAATTTCAATTAATAGAGCCTGAGCGCATCAGCATCTATAGAAGCGACTCCGGAATTTCTAACAGTTCTTACGAGTCCCAGTTTCCAATAGCTTTGCCTCAGAACCGATCACTTAAAGAAAAAAAAGAAACTGTTGACACATTAAACTCTGGCCCAATACCTAAAAAAAATAATCACAAAAATAACGAGATACAAAAGAAAATTTCTGAAAGTGGTGCAGCATTACTTATTGATCAAACATCACTTACATCCTGTACGCCGCCTGTTGCTGGTTCTGCTGCTTCACCGCATTGCAACCGTCAGTGTAATAACAATGACAAGACTACTCAAGAAGACTATGAGCAGTATCAACTTGGTCACCAATACACGAATTCCGTTTCTACAGTTTTAAGCAGCGTTAGCACCTCCAGCAAATCCAAATTTACATCTATGGTTCCTGGACACAGCTTGAGTGTTTCATCACCGAACGAGGTGCGTATTAAAATAGTAGTTGTATAGAGAATTACACAGATCTTTTCATTTCTATTGAGCTTATTAAATATGAATTGCTTTAACATTAACATTATTATTTAATTTTAAAGCAGGAGCTCAAAGTATCAGCAAAGACAAAGAAATGTCGAAGCTTTTTTTATACCCTTGCAGAGCAAAGGGTATTATAATTTCAGTCAGAAGCTTGCAACGCAGTGAAGAAGACACCTCAGACCCCATAAAGTATATATATATATTATTCTATATCAGCATCACGATCACAATCCAAATACGTCTGTACGTCTGTCCGTCTGTCTACCTGTCTGTTTCTATGTAAACTAGTCCCTCAGTTTTAAAGCTATAATTTTTTCCCATTATTTATACATATATGATAGAGTTATCCGATTTCGACAAAATTTAATCCGAAATTCAATAGTAGTTAGAAAACGCCATGTAGAAGAAATGAAGTCGAACTGATCAAAAACAACGGCGTTTGAATTTACAAAATTTTAATCTCTTGTATGGGAGCTATTCTATATAGTCGCCCGATCCGGTCGTTCCGACTTGTACATATACTGCGTGCAACAACTACACAACTTTTGGGAAAGTTTCAGCAAGATAGCTTTAAAGCTGAGAGACTAGTTTGCGTAGAAACGCACAAACGGACAGACGGACAGATGGACAGGCGAACAGACGAATTTGGATTCAGATCGTAATGGTGATCAAGAATATATATACTTTATGGGGTCTGAGGTGTCTCCTTCACTGCGTTGCAAACTTCTGACTGAAATTATAACACCCTTTGCTCTGCAAGGGTATAATAAGTGTGTGTGTTTTTTTTTTCGATTTTTAGACGATTGGCTAAGATTGATCAGTAAGTAGAGCTCGCTGCAACAATTAAAGCATTTTTAAATTAAAAAAAAATGTTTTTTTCCTGTTATACTTAATGTGCTATTTTTTTTTACTTACATGATTTTTGTATCATTTGGGATAACCCCGGCCACAACATCGTTAAAACGAATTTTTCAACCCACCTTTTGTGCTGCATGACACTAACAATTCAATGACTAACGGCAGAAAAATCAATCGCTGCCTATTAATCCATTTCTAGCTAAAACTGGGAACAATATCAGAATCGTTGCCGACAACAATAAAGAAAAACTGCTACGACGATCCACCAGCCTCTCAATCGAACACCTCCAAAGGCATGAATATGAAAGCCTTACCGACAACTGCGATGTCTCCAGAGAATCTCAAGGCTACCGTTCAGAAGACGTTAAGGCTAACAGTGCTGGCTCCAAACCTTTCTCGGGTGATTCACAAACATCACCAGCAGAGCAATCGCAAATTATCAACAATGCCAAAAAAATTAGGAACAGAGAGCTCAGTGCCAATCGAGAACATAATAAACGATTGTTAGTTTCACATGAATTGCTAGCCAAGACATCCCGAATCGGCTCCCTTACTGACATCGATATTTTAACGTCTGTAGTTCCCTCAAACGTTCTGGATGACTCTACGGCAGAAGGGGCTTACGATTGCCTAGTAGTACGTCGACCTATACGCCTTCCATTGCGTAAACATCACACGTTCCATTTTCAAAGCACTCAAACGGCAAAGGGTAAGCTTCAACAGCTGCGTGAGCGACTGCAACTTCAGCGACATGAACGGGAGAAGTTCAATCGAGAAAAGTTTTCGACGGCATTTTGTCCGTTAGAATTTAGTGAACAGCACGCCTTCAAGCCGATCTCACCCACACCTAGAATAACAACATTTATGGGGCAAAAGTCAACGGATCAAAACCAAACTGCCATTTTATCTTCGCAATCTAAATGGATGACAGAAGACGATGAGGACCTCGGATATAGTTTCTGTGAAGAAGAATGTTTGGTCGATAACGCTAACTATCCCACCTCGGACAATCCTAATACTGCCCTAGGCAATAGCTCTAGTTCATCGAATGCTATTGAAATCGCGAATGCAGATGCTTTAAGGACTTTTGTGTCGCAAAGCTGTTGTGAAGTACACATTTAGATATGACAAAAAGAAAATGAGAGGAAACAAGCCTAAGTGACACAAACAAGGTATTTTATATTAATTATATTAAGAATAAAAAACATGTAAACATATTTCACAAAAAAAAAAAAAATACAAAAATTTTAAAAATTGGTAACAAAATAAAATTTTAATTAAATTTGATAATTTTTAGGGTTTATAATAGTTTTGTTGAAACACAGTTTCTTGGCAAACTAACCTGTACAAAAAATTTGAAAAACTCAACAATAAAATGTAATAAAAATTGTCAATGCCTGTGGATTTATGTTAACTTGGTATAGTTGTTAACACAACAAGAGAGAAAGATTGCTTCCGCGAGCCGAAGCTTATATGTATAAGTTAAAACTTGCTTCTTAAAAGATTTTTTGGTTTTGGTATCCCGAAGTTCTGATGGTTATTCTATGGATTTTGGTAAATAAGTCCGATTGCTTATATGCAAGCTTAATGATATAATCTTTCGATTTTAACAAAACTTCATTCGTAAGTCAGGAATCGTTGGAAACCTTTATATTCCGAAATTTTTGAAGTAATGATATCAAAATAAATTATTTTTTGATCATTTATTTTGTATACGCTTTATTATTTTAATTGTTTAATATAGATTTTTCGATATTTTCTGTCATTGAAATCCAACACTGATCATATTTTCATGAAAATTTAAAAAACACCATCACGTTATTTATTTAGCTCTACTATGAAAGCTTTACGATATAGTCGTCCGATTGAGACCGTTCAGATCTATAAACTGTTCGCAGCATAACTACAAAACTTTTGGTAAAGTATCAGCGGGATATCTTTTAAACTGAGAGAATAGTTAACATAGAAACTGACTGACGGACAGAAGTACATGTCAAAGTCAAATCAGCTGGTAATCAAGAATTTACTCGTATACATATGCGCATTTATCCGTCCTGGTAGAAAGCATATAGGGGACTTTCCCCTCACCATAAGTGAGCCACCACAGTGGCTTCGTTTATGGCAAGTCTGCCTTGGGTGCCTAGGATCCCTCCAATACTTTTGGTTACCGTCTGGGCCGTCCAAATTAAACTTTTTTCATCGCTAAAAATCACTTTTTCAAATTCATTCTTCCAAAACTTATACTTTTCATAAAATGCAAGCCTGGCCTTCTTATGTCTTGGTAAGAGCTTTGGCTTGTGCACCTTTGCACCATACTGCAGGCTGAAATCTTTGTTGCAAATCTGGTGCACTCTTTGTCTGCTTATTGGCAACTGCAATTCCGCTTTTATTTGTGCACAACTCATTGTCTTAGCTGTTCTAGGCTTATCTCCTTTTCACTTAATCCGAGTGCACGCGGAATTTTTAATCAATAATGTTAGAAGTCTCGCAAAAAAGGTAAAAAATGGCGACAATATAAACCTTTTGTATTAAGAAATAAACACTTTCTTTAAATAAATCACTTTTTGCTGGAGGTGCGTTGACGTGTCGAGCTCAAAATCTAAATGCAGAACTTTGCACAAATATGTCTTCTTTTAAATCCTTACGGGACCATAGATTAAAAGCAGATAAGAAATAAATGCACAGGAACATGTCAAAGCATACGAGAAAAAATCTGTATACTCGAAAGATTAATATAGTTATTCCAATAACGATTATATCAAAAATAAATTTTGTACAAATATCAATTTTACTGACTGTACTTTCCGAGACATATCCTTCACTTCCATGAACTAACTGAAATCACAATACCTTCTAAAAAATAGTTTTTCAGTATATCTAATATATAAAATTCTCGTGTCACAGTTTTTGTTACCATACTCTTTCGAAACGGCTATACCGATTCTCATGAAATTTTGTGAGCATATTGAGTAGGTCTGAGAATCTACCAACCTCTATTTTTCATCCTCTTGAATCCTGTTCGACATACGAAAAATCGAATATAAAGTGAGTTACTACCTCAGGGAAATAAGTATATGTACATTGATATTTTTAACAAAAAAACGATTTAAACAAAACAAATCAATCCAACTTTTATTGGGGTATGTAGTACTCCTATGTGCAAATAAAAATAATAATAACAAACCTTTTATTTTCTTAAACTTATTAAAGAACTGAATTAATTAATAATAGTTCATAGGAAATAAGTATATGTACAAAAATAAACTAGCGTGGTTTGAATGAAGAGTGGAAGTCTTTTGGTCAGCAAATTAGTCCGGAATTGTTTTTTTTTAAGAGAAGAGCTTATTTGCAAACCAACAAATGTAAGTTGATTAGTGTTTGTGTGAAAAATGTAAATATAAATACGGTTTTACCATGGCATGCCACGCGGAGACCATTTGTCAGCCGAAGAACGCGGAATAATAACAGCAATGAATGAAAACGGATGTAAAATTTCCAAAATAGCTGCTAGAGTTTCTCGACACCGACATACCATTATAAACTTTATTAAAAACCCGAAAAAATATGGTGAAATAAAACGCTCTGGCAGACCTAGTAGCATCGACAATAGGTGCAAACGCGAAATCGAGCACCTAGCTGTAAACAAACAAATGTCGTGCAACGAGATCAAACGTCATTTACATCTTAATGACACTAGGGGACGGGTCCATCAACTTTTAGTTGAAAATAAGAACCTTAAATATAGTTCCCGAGTGCCTGTACCTAAGCTGCTACCACGCCATCTAAGCGCACGATTATCCTTCGCGGAAAAATATAAATTTTGGACAGAGGAATTTCGCAAAGTAATTTTTTCGGACGAAAAAAAGTTTAATTTAGATGGTCCAGATGGGTGTCAAAAGTATTGGCGCGACATAAGGCAACCAAGGCAAACCCGGCATAAGCGAAACCATGGCGGAGGCTCCTTGATGGTTTGGGCTGCTTTCGGGTATGCGGGAAGGTCTCCAATTTGTTTTATTCCTACAAGAACAAATGCAGAGATATATACTCAATTGTTGGACAATGTCCTTATCGAGTTCGCTGGAAACCTTTACGGGGATAATTGGACTTTCCAGCAAGACAACGCACCAATCCACACTACACGGACCACAAAGGAGTTTTTTTCGTCAAGAAAAATTCCACTTTTAGAGAGGCCAGCCATAAGCCCCGACTTAAATCCTATTGAGGATCTCTGGGGCATCCTTTCGGCCAGAGTTTATAAAAATGGCCGACAATTTGACACCATCAAACAACTGAGAGACGCTCTGGTCGTTGAATGGGAACAAATTAATGATAATATTCTTAAAGGATTGGTGGATTCTATGCCGGATCGCCTTAACAAAGTTATAATAGCAAAAGGAAAGCATATAAACTATTAAAATAACTAAAAAGATAAAAAATACTTACATAGATATTGATATTATAGGAATTACTGAAAATGTATATATACTTATTTCCTATGAACTATTATTAATTAATTCAGTTCTTTAATAAGTTTAAGAAAATAAAAGGTTTGTTATTATTATTTTTATTTGTACATAGGAGTACTACATACCCCAATAAAAGTTGGATTGATTTGTTTTGTTTAAATCGTTTTTTTGTTAAAAATATCAATGTACATATACTTATTTCCCTGAGGTACCTCATCACACTGACAAAAACACGCTACCATAGCATTTTAAATCAATTTAAACTGCGGCAAAAATCATTCATCATTAAGTAAAATCATTAATTCTATTTATGAGTGTTTTGTCCAGTGAGCAATGGCAAGAAAATGCAAAGAGGGAGATTTGAGCCATGATACAAGTAGATCTCGATACATGCGAAATAGAAGATCCGAAAGAGTAGCGCAATTGCATCAAGAAACGCCAGAAGATACACGAACTGAACGCAATGAAATCAGAGAAGAGCCAGAAGATACACGAGCTGAACGCAATGAAGTCAGAAGATTAGAAAAACGACAACCACGCCGTTTCACAGTCCAACGACGTTGTTGGAACATAGGTCGTAGTACAGTGATTGCTAGAAGAGAACGTTGCCATCAGGTGGCGAAACGGAGTTCGCCGGGGTTTGCTAGTGTATATAGAATATCCTATGGCTTCCACAGAAAAGATCGAAAAAAAATAAAAAAAAAAAATTATATCGTTAGTTTTTATCATACAGTCCTGATATTTAGCAGATGTCGTTTTCTTACTACTCTTGAACTCTACAAAATTTACATGAAAATCGGATGATTATAACATGGCTGCCATAGGAAGACTTGTAAAATCGATATAAAAGTAATAGATTCAAATTAAAAGATGGTTGCTTTTTAACACATTCCTCATGAATTTCGAATACATTTTCATGAAAATCGTAGGATTATATCATATACGTACATGTTTGTCATTTAAACAATCGGAGAAATCGAAGAATCTTAATAGAAAAGTCCTTATGTTAATAAGCCTGCATTTTGTTCGATATTACGCAATCCGTTACGATAATATATAATAAAAAGTTATATTTATAAAAATCGGACTACTAAAATTAAAACCTCAATATTTCGAATATTACGCTGGTATAGTAAAACACAACAAAGTAAAACTTTTGTCCGATTAATTTCTTATTGATTTTTCAGTACTCGTCCGAGTCCGAAATTAACAATTATATTTTAAGAGGCATGTTCATACGGTTGTTTTTTTTCCGCCCTATTATCTGTCGGGGCTAGCCGAGTTGCTGCTCAACTCGGACATTCATTTTTTATGTCCAAAAAACGATTCTGCTCAACTTGCAATTTTTTTTTTTACTGTAATCGGCTTTTTGCTCAACTCGGTATCGCCCCTTCTTTCGTCTTGTCCTTGTATTTTTATATCGCCGACGTGACGCATTTTAATTAACATCGTTGTATTGCCACCGATTTATTTTGAATTGGATTATATCAACCACCATTAGAAAGGTCAATTTATTAATATATTTAGTGATATTCGACATATTATACGTTAAAGTTAAAATTTTTTTGAGAAAGAATGTGTTTTTCATGGATACTAGAGAGTTGAATATGCTAATTTCCGTTATCTACTGACGAGTTACCTTACATTTCAAATTCATTTCGTTTTTTTACTGGTTATGTATTAAACGACAAGAACAAAAGTATATAAAATGTTGTGTTTTAACATGCCACCCGAAAAATGTAATAACAAAAATGTTGTAAACTGTAATGACGTATCAACAAATGTAAGCCCGCCCTTTTCTACAAACACGCGACGGTCGACTTAAACCCCTGTCATCGTTTTTTATATAATGTACATTAAAAAAAGGAGAAACTCTACATATTCTACCCGTCGTTAACCAATTATTTTTTGTTAAAATCATATATAGA